ATGGGATAAAAAAAATTCAAAGTATATTCTGGTGCCTTGTCCAAACACAATTGTTAAATACAACCAGTCAATGGGAGGCGTGGATTTGTGTGACAGATTTATCTTATATTACAGAATCTGTATGCGCACTAAAAAATGGCCTGTACGTGTCTTTTGGCACTTTATTGATCTTGCATTGACCAATTCATGGATAGAGTATCGTCAGGATAGGGTAGCGTTTGGCGATAAGAGATCCAAGGTAATGGATTTAAGCCTACCTTTAAGCTTTATGGTAAGCCTACAAATGGGAGAGAAGCTAGTACGTCTATTTCAAGAAAACCGGAGACATCTGAAGATGAAGAGCCCATAATTCCAGTAAAACGATCCAAAGTTGTCCACTTTAGATCGTTTTAGTAATGACCGTTAAAAACTAGTAATGACCATTTGCCAATATGCTCTGTCGACAATAAAAATTCTTACATGCGTTGCCGAAACCCTGGGTGTACTAAGAAGACTAGATTCTTTTGTGTAAAATGCAAAATGTACTTGTGTATTTCTCCTGAACGAGAATGTTTTTTTTCAGTTTCATACTTAAATTATATGTAAGTTAAGTCCTGATGTCCATTATGCTGGACCTGTCATAATTATGTCTGTCAAATAAATTTTTTTTAGTTTTTATAGATTTTCATTTATTTTTTTCACAAATCAAGAGGGAACATAGAAAATATTGCTAAAATAATAAAAACTAAAGAACAAAGATAATCAGATGTACAAAAAAGTGGATAAACAAATAAAATACAGAATTAAGAAAGCGAAAGAACAATGCGCAGAAATAGAAGAATACCAGAAAAGACATGATAGTTTTAACACGCATAAAAAAAATTAAAGAATTAACCCACAACAATAGAACAAGAAAACCGGGAATACTGAAATATGCAAGTGTTGAATACTAACGACAAATAAAAAAGATGGACAGAATACGTCAATGAACTGTTTCAATAGAACAGAACAGATGAAGAGAGAAGTAGAAGAGGATATGGTTTTAAAGATATTAAAAGAGGAAATTAAAATGGCAATAAAAAACAGCAAAAATGGTAAAGCATTAGGTCCAGACCAAATCCCTATTGAAATCTTAAAATACATAAATGATAAAACCTTAGACATTATAGTAGACTTAGTTAACTCAGTATTCAAAACAGGACACATACCGAAACAATGGCTACTCTCCACCTTTTGTGCTATCTCTAAAAGTACAAACGCTAAATATTGCAGTGAATATAGAACAATATCACTAATAAGACACATTCTCAAATTATTCCTGAAAATAATACATGGTTGTATAAATAAAAAAACTGATCGATGATTTTTTCAGTTAGACTGGGGTAATATCCACTTCGTATATTTCAACAAGCCTTTGATTGCATTCAGAGAAATAATTTGTATTTGGTTCCCCACTGTATATGGATGCCAAAGTTTTATCAAATATTTTGTATTGATTGCATCTTGTTACTTACACACGAAATTATGAAAGAAAGATAATTATCTTTCACATGAACTTGATAAATATAACACTTATTACAATTCTCTAGGTACTGATAACGAATTGTAGATAACTCTATATTTTGATATAAACATTCTATTTTTATATCGACTACATCCATCACTTTATTGATAATTACTAACAAAAACACACTCAGTAGGCGGTATTTTGTTATATTGATATACTTTTTGACACTGAACCAATTTATCTTATTTGTTTTTCCGTTTATGCCACTGATAACTGTTTTACTGCATCTCAATATCAAATAAATTAAATAATATATTGCAAATTTTTACCTACAGAATTTTATGGATAGAATAAAAGTGTATTTTCCAGAACATTTTACAGATAGTCACAATTATAAAAAGTATTTATCAAAAATTATAACTTACCTTTAAATGTTTTTCTTCTTCGGAGGCTTTCTTATTGGATGTCCATTTTTTGCTTAGTATTTATATTATACAGTGGAACTCGCTTATTACGGCCTCGGTAGTTACGTCATCTCGGTTATAACGTCAATTTTTAATAGGTCCGGTCAAAAACCATTCCATAACGTTATTAAAAACCCTGTTTTATCGGCTAAAAATAAACTAACCCTCGGTTATAGCGTCATAAAATTTTATAGTAGGTTATCCTTTTTTTATTTTATGAAGAATAAAGTGCAATGCGTTTCTGGCTTTGCGGCATTTGTTCCTTCCAAGAATGTAAGAAAGGTCCATTATCCCTTCTGTGTACAGTTATGTTACCCTGACAATCTATAATTTCGCATTTATCCGTGCCGTCCTAACACTCCTAACAGTCAAATTTTCTGTTTCGGAACAGTCGGTTTAAGAAATTTTCGCTACCGTGAAATTGTGTTCGGATCGTTTTGTTTTTTTTTTATTTTAATTTGGTAATTAGCTTTTATTTTTTAATATTATGGCAAGTTGTAGCACTAAAAGGAAGGTTTTGCCTATTAAAGAAAAAGGGCGTGTTATAAGAACATTTGAAAGTGGTCGAAAAATTGCTGATGTATGCCGGCAATTTGGACTTGTTAATTCGACTGTCGGCTCAATCATAAAAAACAAGGACAAAATTTTAAAAGCATTTAAAGAGGACGGAAACAATGTTAAAAAGATTAGGAAGTGCATTCGTGGTGATGTAGATTCAACTCTACTCAAATGGTTCAAGCAGTGTCGCAGTTCTGATATCACTGTGTCCGGGCCACTTTTAAAGGGGAAAGCTACAGAGTTCGGAAAATTGTTTGGTGAAGATTTCACATGCTCTAACGGCTGGTTAAATCGGTTTAAAGCCAGGCACTCAATTTCCTTCTCGAAAATTGTTGGAGAGGCAAAATGTGTGGACGAGAACGTAACAAGTGACTGGTTACAAAACACATGGCCACAACAAAGGCAACCATACAGAGATGAAGATGAAGATATCTTTAACGGTGACGAGACAGGTGTCTTTTATAAATTAACGCCAGACAAAACTTTAAATTTCAAAAATCAAAAATGTGTCGGTGGAAAACTTTCCAAGCAAAGAGTGACGGCTTTTGTTTGTGCAAATATGACAGGTACAGAGAAAAGAAAGCTTTTGGTTATTGGGAAAAGTTTACATCCTAGATGTTTCAAAAACATTAAAACACTACCTGTAAACTACACAGCCAATAAAAAAGCATGGATGACTTCTGCTATTTTTGAAGAATTGAGAAAGTGGGACACTTTCAAAAAAAGAAAAATTCTTCTCCTAGTTGACAACTGTGCAGCCCATCCCAAACTTAATTTGACCAATATAAATCTAGTGTTCTTACCAGCCAACTGCACGAGTGTCTTGCAGCCTATGGAGCAGGGAGTCATAAGAAGTTTAAAGTGCCATTATCGAAAACAGCTTTTAAAAAGAATGATTTTTTGTATGGATAATGGAGAACCTGTGAACATTACCATCCTGGATGCTGTTCAGTTTTCAGACAATGCGTGGAGTGCGGTTACGTCAGTGACAATTCATAAGTGTTTTCGTCAAGCAAAATTGACTGTAGCTTCTCTCAATGTTGAGGACGTTGATAAAGATGACGAAATGCCTTTGTCAGAGTGGATACAAAAATTTAATGTGAATCAGGGAGCGTTCGGAACTGATCTTGACTCCTACATTTCAGTAGACGATGAGGTGGAAACATTTCAACACCTAAGTGATAAAGAAATTGTTGAACTGGTGCAAAACGTGGAAATGGATGTCGATGAAGCTGAAGAAGAAGAAGACATCGTTGCTTGTCCTACAATCCAAGAAGCAATGAGAGCTGCTGAGACCATATCCAGGTTTTACCAGTTCAGGGAGGCATCCACAAATACCAAAGCAGCTCAGCTTATTAAGGAAACAATAGAAAAACTTTATTTTTCGGAAAGGGTTGTGCAAAAGAAAATAACGGACTTTTTTCAGCAATAGAACTTTTTTACACAATGTAAGTTTCATATACATACATAATATGTTTTGTTTTTTAATTGTTTTTTATCCTAAAATGATTCTTGATTTTTTTTTAAATTTAACTTAAGTAAATGTTATATTTTTGGTATATCGTAAACTATGTTAAATTATCATGTTTAGGCCCAGAGTAATTAACAAATAATATATCTACTATACCCAATAATGCTGTAATAATATATTCCCTCATTAAAATTTTATTTTTCTCAACCTCTTTTTTAACGTCACTCTGATATAGCGTCATTTTTTTATTGGACCCTTCAATTACGCTATAACCAAGTTCCACTGTATTTCTACAGTCGTAGTGATTTCTAATGTATCAGATCCACAGACATGTACAATGCTAAAGTATAAAGTATTTTCCAGCTAAGAAGACCGCTTTGCAACTAAATACTGGTTACTTTATTACTAGCGGACCAGATAAGCGGCGATATATTTTACACTACCTGTATGAAAAACATTTGACTACTCTGGTGTTTCAATCAGCACTGCTCAACAAGTTATCGTTTATTGGTTCTAATATTTTATTGTAATGGTACGAGTATGAAATATTTATTTAAACAATGAATTTATTACATGTTAATTTTTTTTAATTTCTTCTGACGTATCTTATAATGTAAGTTTACCCAATAATCAAAGTTATGCCTTTACAAGAACATATTATTTGAAAAATAAGGAGTACCATGTGTCATAATAATTGTAATCTCCTTTATACACACTTTAAAAATTTGTTTAGTATCTAATTTATATCTAAACAAAAATATTTATTTAAATCAAAGTTACGTGAAGAATTCACAATTTCAAATTCAATAGGATTGCCAGGGCAGATATTTTGTAGTTCATAAACACTTAATAGTAAGCAGCGATATATTTGTTTGTTTATTAGCGCACAAATTTACTTCTCAATTATCATTTTTGCGTTCTGTACATATATTGACGATAATCACTCACAATTAGGACTTTTGGGAAATATGGTATTAAAGTTTATGGTACTGTGTTAGTTCTTGAGTAGTAAAAACTAGGAAAATATAAAAACTTTATTTTAAAATAAGTAACAAATATACATCAAATAAAATGAAATTTTTGGAGCCCTCAATTAAGTGAACAACAAAATTTTATTTTAATAAATATAACATCCTAATGTATCCAAGAGCAGGTTACTACTAATAACAAAATACACTCAACAACACAAAATTTGGACTGTTTTCAAATTACAATATTGGTGTTAACTCGAAAATACTATAACATTTTGGAGAAATACTACTGGCTGCGCCAATCAGAATAAGAGCCGAAAACAGGTTTTTAAAAAATTAATATCTCTACGATCTATATATACAGGTCTTAATTAATACAATAAAACACCGGTATATATAGTCTTCTCTATACTTCGTAATCACTTTGGATAACCCGGGGTCGTAACTCCCGAACACAAAACGAAAGGTATTAGATGGGTTATAAATTTTGTGTTTAAATATGAATGAAGTCTTGATTTTTCTGCCAGAGCTAGATGAAAGACAACTAAAACAAACAAGAAACCCTAAAATCAAACATAGGACTTGCCTTTAAAATGCCTGTGAAAATTTGCTATAATTATAACGTTCTACTGCTTGTACAAAATGTGAAGTTACACATGTAGTGTGATTTGAAAGTACAAATAAATCGGTATATATGTATAGGGTAAACCAAATGTTATGATAATATAAATAATGCAATAAAAAAACAAGCAGTTCTCAATTACAATTTATCCCTAACATTTCTAGGAAAAGTGAGATTATTTAGTTTCCCATCTATATATTTTCATCACCCTCCTCTAAATAGTAGTTCATTTTATGACTTATTTCACGAATTATTCCAAAAAGTAATTGGATTGAAAGGACTAAATGAAACTAAGATAATTTGAATAATTGGAAAGAAATTATGGCAAGGTACTATCCAATAAACAAGATTTAGCTACAACAAAGATATTAAAAAACAATTTGGAAGGGGTTGATAGAGAAAGGATTAGTGTAGTATGAACGTCATGGACATAATTTATGTGAAAATAGTTGCAAAGTATTTTTAATCTAATGAAAATATTAAATTACTGGTGTCGGGGTTTTGTAATGACCAATTTTTGAGTTGTTGAGTATATTAATGCGAGGAAATACTGTAAAAAGAAAAACAAAAATAATGATATACAAAGTATGATTCCAAAAATTATGTATTTTTCCAATGATGTCATGGATGTCATTTATGGTTCGTTTTAATTGACTATTTATTACACACTTCATATATCACTGAAATATTATAAATTATGTGGTTAATTGTAAATAATATGAATAAAAATTAATGAAATGATAATGTCTTTTTACCATTGCAGAATATTTAAATTTGGTCGAAATAAATGGAGTGTGGCCTAGAATCTGACTTCAAAATTTCAAAAATATAACATGTATCGTTAAAACAACCACCTGACAAAATAAGAGTTTTAAATAAGCGAGGAATAAGATAGCATTATGTTATTACAGGCTTATGTTCAATCTGTACATGAAACCTATATCTAGGGAAGCATTGGATGAGAGCCAACGTGAAATCAGGATCAACAAACTAAGATAAACAATATTAGGTACATGGATGACACTATCCTACTAGCAAACAATGTACCAGAGCTTCAAAACATAATAAATTCTGCAAAATGTGCAGTTTAAATCTAAACATATTAAAAACCAAAGTACTAGTCTTTTCGAAGACGCCAATAACAAAACAAAAATAAAAGTCTAAAATATGCAGAAATTTGATGATCAGATGCTGCTTTCATATAGAAAAAATAGGGAATATTGCGAAATATATATATATATATATATATATATATATATATATATATATATATATATATATATATACAAGAATATACTGCCAATTTCGTAGATACAAAAGACCACTGATTACTAGGTCCTCTACTTCTTAACATGAGTAAACAAAATGAATGATTAAACACTATCAAAGGGAGAAAAATACAACACTTAGGGCATGTATTAAGAGGTGAAAGATTTAAGTTACTTAAACTCATAATAGAGGATAAAATATAAATAGGAAAACGCCAGAATTGGATTTGAGACTGTAGTAAGAAGTATTATCATCAATACTCTCTATCCCAAACAATAACTATGAGACAAAGCGCTTTAGGGTTAAGTGCTTTTAAATTCATAAAATATATAAACTAATAAAAAATGGAGCCTTATACATAAAAATTTTTATTTTCCAAAAACTGGATACATATTTACATTTGCCAGGTGGTCTAGTATCTATATAGTATCACTCTTTTAAAATAGACAAAAATATATTCCTTCATTTTAAAAGCAATTAAACAAAGAGTCACCCAAGCAGTGTATATTTTAGAAATTTCACTGTCAGGCACTGAAATATCTATACAATTGAAGAGCTAATAGGTGAAAGATTGGACTCTAGCTCTTATTTTAACATGAATCAGACTTTTCACATCCTAAAGGACACTAAGTAGATCCTAAACATTAAAAATTCCAAAACCTATTAGGAAAATTAGTTGTGTTTCCTTAATATCTAATTTAAAAGATCCATTAGTGCCTCTCAGTGTTGCTGTTCTTGTCATATGGCCACAAAAACAGCAAAACCGTGTGTTCCTGTGAAACAGTAGACACTGTTTTATTAACTAGGGGAAGAACACATAGGTAAAAATAAGATACTAAAAAGATAATAATAACAAATTATATATAAAGATGAAATGACAATAATTTTAAGAAGCATTTTATATTTTAATTATTCTAAAAATTGGCTATCCCTGCTGTCAGAAAACTTAACAAGGTCGACCAATATTTACAAAAGAACATTCCTAAGCAACATGAAGGCGCATAATGTGCAGATGATAAAGTTGGCATTCTTGAGATTCAAGGTACTTATTTTTTCTTTCAAGGAATTCTTTTAATACTTAAAATACAGTATAAGTTACAGTGACCTGAATTGAGAGCAATCTTAAACAAAGTACAATCAAAGCAATATAGAAAAATCAGTTAAGGCCACCTGCCCTTTCAAAAAGGTGATGACGATTGTTTTTCACAATGTGAATGGTATTATATATATTATATATAATTGATTACTTGAAAAAGGGTACAGGAATAACTGACATATACTATGCAGTGTCATTGGATAGTTTCCACTCTGATTTTAATCTGCAATCCATGGTATGTTCGCCAAAATACCTATTTTCTATTTGAGAAATTTAAAAAAAGGCTTAAATAGCATGGTTTTGCAACAAATGATGATGTTACAACATAACCAATACTTCACACTATTTTGGGGAGCTTGAGCAAACTTATTTTTTAGAAGGATTAAAAAAGTTTGATAATCAAGCAATTCATTATATATGTTGAAGTATTGGGTAATAATGTGTTAAAAGCTTCAACTCAATAATGTTTTATGTAATATTATTTTTAGAAATCCTAAAATACTAGTCATAAGAAGTGGCAGATAAAATACTATAATAAAAATAATTGTCCCCTGATTCCCAACAATGCCAACCTTACATTCACCATCTTGGCCATTCTTTCCATTAAAAGTCAGTCACTAATCATTGCGTTTTGAGTTCTTTACCAATGCTATAGGATACAATTTTATTCCAATCCATTTTTGTCCTGGTGACAGGAAGAAGTCTTCGTAGGGCCTTGAAGGTTGTATCTGACATATTCTGATAGTTTTCTGAAATTGCCGTTTGATAGAGATCCTCAGCGGCTTCTATTACTTGGATGATTTCTTTAGCAGTTTGTGCCTCAGATGAAACAGGAACAGTTTCTTTTATTTCTTTAGTACTCACTAATTGTACATTACCCTAGATGTAAGGATACAAGCGAGAATTAGAAAATAAACTTTAACAAACTATTTACACATATATTGCAACATTTAGACAATAGGTATGATCATTGTGTAAGTCAAATTCAAAGGGTGTTCAACATATAAACATCAATAAATAGGTTTGAATTGTTAAAAATAAGTTACTAATTTCATTTCATTTTAATCATTTTCATAAAATTACTCAATAAAAATTAGTTTTTGTTTCTGGTATAAAAGGAATACAATTTTTTCAAAATATCCACATCACAGAAGAAAAGTGCAGACATCAAATTAAAAAGTGACTGAAAAAACACGTTTTTTTTAATAAATATGCAATTTGATTTGCAACCTATAAAATTTTACAATCAGCAAATGTTAATGACAATAACAAAACATGTAGGAAAAATGTCCAGTGACAGTTTTCTTTTAATTATCTAAGATTGGGTTTAGGAAACTTAAATAACACAAAACAATACAATGTAGAACAGTACTAAGGTAGGAAAAACCTTACAGGTAGATCACATGGAATGTGCCTTCTTATCCTTCTCTAGATGGGACGTCTCATTACGGGTTGAGCCAAGATTTTCTGTGTTTGTCATACTTATGGGAGAAATAGGATATTTCTACTTTTGACAGATTTCATTTTAAGATCACAAGCAATAACACTATTAGTTAAGTATCACAGAGTGTTTACAATAATCCTAAGTACTTCGAACTGGAATCTTTGTATGAGTTAATGAAAATTGTGATTTATAACCTTAAATTCAGTACAATTAGCAAAGTTTTAAGCTGGTTACTTTCTCTTAGCGAATGTGTTCTCCAAGTTAATCTTTGGTCTAGATGAATTCCCAGATATTTTGCATCTTCTTTTTGTTGCAAGAACTGACCATTTATTGCCACAGTTGGACAGGCACCTGTACATAGGGTGTAAGTGATATGGATACATTTAATTTCATTTGATTTAATTCTCCAGGTTTTTAGACACAAGGGAATAACATCCAAGTGAGTCTGCACAATTTGAGAAGCCGTGACAGGATCTTTGTGAGTTGCCATAACAGCAGTATAATCTGCATATGTTTCAATGGTTATATTTTTACTAGTGGGAAGATCAGCTGTGTAAATGATATAGAGGATCGGACCAAGTACACTCGCTAGAGGCAAGCTTATTAGGTATTGAGTTGTGGTTTTGTCTTGATACCTTACTTGGAAAATGTTGTTCAGCAAGCTTTTTATGATTCTGTATAATAGTCCATCATGCCAATTGTCGAAAGCATACCAGAGCAGTATTCTTGATCTTCAAATGATTTATATGTTTTCATATTTCATCATATCATATTTTTCATATTATTCGCTAGTTATTGAATGCCTTGGTAGGCTATATATTGCAGAAACTGTCAGCAAACCATGCCAGTCCTCTATGCTTATATTAATTACTTTTATGTGATCTTTTGAATATTGGTTTAGTTTGTGATGCTTGATTATCAATAATAATTGCAGTTTCTCTGTGTGCCATGCCATCTGGATGATTTGTGTAGTAGCTTGTGTAGTTTGAATGGTTAAAGTGTTTAAAATGTGTCAAATGGGTTTCAGACACAAGCATAATATCTATATTATGATTTGTAATGAAGGCTTTTACTTCTGTTGCATGTTTTGCTAGCCCGTTGGTATTCCATACAGCTTTTTAAACAATCACTTTGTTAATTTGGTCACAACAGTGGTAAGATGATTTAGTATTCTTCCCATAGCATTTGTGTTTTGAACTCTTGATGTGCTTGCTGCATTATTTAATATGTTTTAAGGCTAATTCCTTGTTGCCTGCGCATAATTAATACTGGATTGTAAGTGTCCAGAATTTATATGAGGTGTAGAAGAACTTTGTTTTGATCTAAGAGTCATATATTGTTTTTTGTGTAATTCTTTGTAATTCGCAGGATAGTTACAATCGTAAAGTATGCATTTTACATTGGCTGTACTTTCTTTATGTGAACAGAGCTTAGTTGAATGGTCTTCTGTGCATTTAACACATCTTGGTCAATGGTAGCAGCATAAAAACAAGTGGATAGGTTTTGGTACAAAGGTCCCAGGATACAACAATGAAGATTTTACAAACATCTGAAAGTTGATACAAATTTTTTACTTTTTAGAAATTGGCAATGATTTTAGCAGAACAAACGACTGACCACAAGATAATACAAGAAAGTGAGCAACATCCTATCCAATTCAGTGAATAGAGTGGTGTAACTACAAGAAAGTGTATCTGATCAAATATTCATGTATTGGTATAAATGTGAAAATTTTGTTAAACAAAAATTATTTTTTTAGAGTAATCAGACCAAAAATACAGAATATTTTGTTCACAGTCTAGTAATTTACATATAAACTAGGGATACATATATAAGAACATGATTTTTAAATATGTATTTATCTAATACAAGTTCTTCTGTATATTGAGTTAATGGGTTTTGCATTTTATTTATTTTATTTTTTCATTATAAAATAATATAATCAATCATCAATATGAAGTGATGAATTGGACAGACTAAAAAAAACGTTTTATAGTGAAAAACTATTAATATAATGACCTTTTACTATGAAGGGTGTCAACAAGAGTATTATATTACATCAAAGATTATAAAAACGGAAAAAAGAAGCCATGAAATAAAGAAAAAACAAACCAACCAATAGAAAAGAAATCCAGATCAATAGAAGTTTAAAAAAATATCAAATAAACTAAAAAGAAAAAAGAAATATCTAAAATATAAAGGAATAACATTGAATTAAGCAGGTGGTAATAACAAAAAGTGATTGATAACATCCAACCATAACAGAGCTGTAAAACAGATTAATCCCTTCAATGTACTTAAATTAGAATTTATTTATTTAATGAGATTTTCAAGGTTTATCTGTGTAGCCACATGAAAGAAATGACCTAGAAACTTGAAACAGTCACAAATGGGCTGCAGGTGACCACAAATGATGACAAAGGATAGATTTGATAAAAACAGTTTTTAGATAAATAACTTTATCACAATAGGTGTGTACCCAATTTGCACTTATGCAGTGCTAAACATAGATTTCATTAGAACTAGATGGATGAGCTATTTAATTGATGAGTGTATTTTAAATATAAATCCATTCAACAATTTAGTTCAATAAATACACTTTTTTATATCAAAAAATCAAAACAACAACAAAAACGCAAATGAACAATAAGTTCCACATAAAACTTCTCTTTCTATACACTAAAGTTTTAGGTTTATATGATAAACAATAGTTTTGTTGAAGATATCTTTAAAACCATAGAAAATAAGTCCATGACACAGTTTTTTTAATTATTTAAAATTTGTATTTATCATCTATACTGTATTTCATTTGAATACACATTATTAACTTTATATCAAACACAGATTTCTATACTAATATTTTTAAATTATGATGAGCTTTTATTTAATTTATGATAAGTTTTCTCAAATGAAGAAATATAGGTATTTTCTTCAAACAGTTAGAAATTTGTTATTGTACTTACCTCTTCATAATAATGGACCTGTACTTTGAGTACGCCTCGAACCTCAGCAGTGGAATCATCAGTTAGACTAATGGACCACTGAGATCTCCATCTTCCATTCCAGTAATTCTTGGGAGAGAACTGGTGGTCTTCAATACAAGCTGTTAAGTTAATAACTCCGCTCTGGTTGCGGCCTACCACACTACATACTCCATCTTTATAATGGTTCCTAGTGTACTGAATGAACTCTGAGTCTAAGGCAGCCCGCCAAGGCTCAGAAGTGCTATCGGGGGTATAGACTTGGTAGTCTAATGCTTCTTTTCTTAAGTGATCATAGGTAAAACTCTGCTTACTTCTGGGGTCGAAGAATCTATTATTCCCTAAATCGTTGTATTCCGTAATAAGCACTAAATGATCGGCGTTTTCTATTTTAACGGGGGTCAGTTGATCTTTATTATACTGAGCGAATGCTCCGCTCGCGCCTTCTTTTAAAAGGTCATCGTCGTTTAAAAGTTTTCTAACATCATTAAATACCTCATTAAATTCACCAGGTGGTGAATGGAGAATAAAATCCGATACTATTTTCACTTTTTCTTGGTCACTAATAACGTCGTCCCCGTCTGACGCCATGTTTAGGTTGGGTTTTCTAGTTGACAGATTATGGTGATGTCACACGTTGACAGATGAGTCATTCAACTCTCCTGCAAGGCAGTTTCTAAAGAATATCCTTTATCATAATTAATAAATAAATAAAATATTATATATTTACAAACATCGATATACAAATGACTTATAAATGGATTTTAATTGTTTCTGATCTTAAAGTTTATTTAAGGACCTTTATATATTGGCTAGATTCTTAGTACTATAAAAAAAACAGAGGTTCATTTTGTTTTCTTCTTTTTGTCACGAACGATGACGTTACAAAAAACGTCAACTTGATATGACAAGTTCTATATTTTGGTTAAGTATACATAAAATAAGGTTTATTAAGTAATGTCATATGTGTAAATTAAATTAAATCTGTATGTTAAAATAATATAACGTTATTGTCTGTATAATGTTTATATTGACTAATGTTCCAGTAATTGTTTAAGCATTACTTATGGTTTAAATATCGCATGTTTTAAAGAAAAAGAAATTACTTTCAAAATGATGAAAAAGTTAACAGGCTCTTTTAGATATACCCAATGGGACCCCTGGTTGATCATATTTCAGATAGTGTCTATGCAGTGTGTGTTGTACTGTACAATAGGACTTATACTAGCTTTATTAGGTACTTTACTTGGAGAACCTAAGACACTGGATAATATATTTCAATATCATGTATGTTGGTTGTTTATATTTTGTTTATCAGATGATTTTCAATGATATATTTGCTTACAATTTTAAATTTATATTAAAAATATTTTAAAAATATAATCTGTTTCAGGAAATACAAGTTCGTGATGCAGGAGGTATAATTGTGATCTGCAGTTTTGTTATTAATGCTGGTATTGGGTAAGTTAACATTCCTATTTTTAGTTCACGTCATTGCAGTTAATTTAACAAATCTCAAACTGATGTTAGTTTTTTACATCTTTTGTTAACATGTCCCATCTGGACTCTACATTGTGTTGCTTTTGTTTTGTAAAATCCCAAGGGTATATCTCCATTTAACACATGTTTCTATTGAGATATACTTAGCTAGTATAAAGCCAGATATAAATGCTTTAAAATGTTTTATTTTCATTTCCTGTAATTAAATATAATCACTCTAAATATATCTTAAAGTAATGTCTTTTTGTAGATCCATAGTGATGTGGTACATAGTAGAAAGAACAAAACAGTGTATGGACTTCAGCTGCACCTGGCACTTGATCCATCTTGTGGTGTGCTGGATGTACAATGCCCAGTTTCCCACAAGTTTCTCCTGGTGGGCTTTAAATGTAGCTTGTGCAACAGTGATGTGTGTTTGTGGGGAAGTGCTGTGTCTAAGGACAGAATTGGCTGCTATACCTCTATCACTAGGACCAAAGACTGACCTTTAGGATAACTAACCAAAGTTGTGATATACATCTCATTTTTAGATAATAAGTTGTGATAAATAAATGTACTATCAAGTTTTATACTTTTGCTGTTTATTTATCTATTTATATGTTTAAAAAACTTAACAAATCGATTTTTTAATTTAAAATTTACAGTACAGAGTATATTTATTGTAGTGCAAAACAAATTGCAGATAGGAAGGATAATATATTTACAAATACTGTTATTTTGTTGTAAAGAACCCAGCAGATCCTTCTCCTTTCATTATTTTCCAATAATTTTGAAGTTCAACATTTTCCCAATGTCTCTCAGTAATCTTTTCAAAGATTCTGAAAAAAAAAAAACAGCAGTGAGAACAATATTTAAAAAAAATTGTTAACTAAAAACATATGGTATGCTATATAAATATTAATAGTTTATCTTCTAGTGTGACTTGCCTTCTGTAGTGAGAAACATATTTATTCCCATTTTAGATCTATAGTGAAGTTCTTTTAAAGTTTTAAGCTGCTGTGCTATGGGGTTAACACTTGACAATAATGTGTTTGTAACTTTATGTACTGCCTACTAATATTCAGTGTTTGAATGCTATATAAACAGGAAGTGTAGGTACTGTATACACTACTAAATTATGTTTAATAAACATTTCTAGCTACTACCAGTAGCATGTGACAGATGAAAGTGAATGGTTGACCCTTCCCAAATTGTTATTTTAGTGCAATTGTTCGATTCTCCAACTCTTTCTATGCAAATAATAATATACTCTTTATTCATAATGATAAAGTTATTATTTTTCGAGATATTTGTACTTAAAAATGAAGCTGCACAATTATTTTGATTACTGTATTAAATATGTCAGTGTTTTTGGGCCATAGGATTGCATTTTTTATCACAAATTCAATTTTTTTCTCATGGTAAAAAACATTTTTACCATAAAAAATAAACTCAAACTTCGAACACATCACTTGGTTCAGAATTTCAACAAGAATGAACTGGAAACTGCATACAGCTGTCTATCTCGCTGTCAGAACTATGCCACATCTCTCGCATACTTAGTATGTGCCAGATATTGGCTGCCATACAGCTACAACACAAATTGCGTTAAAACATTACAAAAATATGTTTTGGGTTTGTGACTTTGTGTTTTCCTTTATGCTCTTCCATCTTAGCTGATGTTGGCATGTTGGTGTCTAATATATCTTTGCATGCTGTAATGCGTTTTGTAAATTCACCCTTTACTCTCAATTTATCATATTTTTAATTAGGTAATATTACTTACTTTAAAACCTGCTGATAAATATCTTGCTCTATTGGCGTTAAACCATTGTATATGACTTCCAGATTGATGTCTACAAGTTTTGGTGTGTTCATTCCTACCAATACGGTTTCAGTGCCTTTTTCCTGCAGACTATAGTAAATTGCTAGTTTTCCCAATTCCACATCATTCTTCTACAAAGAAAAAAAATTAATCAAAATAAAATATGTACTATTATTTTATAAAATTTATATTATGATAGTGTTTAGAATATTTGTTAAAATTAGGTAGATTATAGTCAAAATAAGTATCAAGAGTTTAAAATCACGATTTTCAATTACAAAAATACATAGATTATCTTACAGGTCTCTCTCACTCATCATTTTACTTCTATTACAAGTATTTCATTTTTGCGATAACCATTTTTGGCATCATAAAAATAAGATAATTACCTTACATAAATTCCGAGCTTCTGTGCAGATGTCTTTTATGTGTTCAGATGCTGGATGCCAATTTTGAGGACCAAAATTGCTCAAGAGTCCCATTGAGTTCGCTGCAGCGTTTACAATTCCAACATGTTTTGACTAAAAACATAAAATTTAAAATATTTCCCATTGTTCAGTCAACTAAACACATCCAAGGAACACAAAGTTTACAAAGTTTTTCTCACATATTATATTATAGGTACATCAATTTTGATTGGATTTTAAAAAGTGACATACCGTTAGAATGGCTGAAAAGTTAGCAATGAATTCACCTTAATTTTTTTTTTTTTCAATATAGTCATACATAGATTTCCCAAAGACTAATGGAAGGAGGTTCACAGCTCGTTCTATGACATCCATGAATGGATAGAATACTCCTCAACAGAAGACGCTGTGTATTGTTTCCCATGTCGACATTTCAAAGCGCAGTCTTTTTGTTTGTCGTGAAGCAGCTCACAGTCGCACTTTTATAGACAAAGGCTTCAAAAAGTGGAAAGATGCTTCTACTCTTTTAAAGCAACATAGACTTGGAGAAAGACACAAATCAACAATGACATTATGGGCTGAATTTAAACATCGTAGCTCCCAGCAGAAGTCAGTATCATCTCTACTGGACTCTCAGCAAAGAGGAAAATCGAAATCACATTGCTTGGTGTCCGGGGTACTTGATGAATTTGGTCAACCGACTATCTGTTAGAGCGGAAAATTGTAGTGGTTGACGTGACGGCTGGAGTGCGGCAGGAGTCGGTCCTAGGACCCACGTTGTGGAACTTGGCACATGACGAGGTTGTGAGCCAACAATACGGAGAGGGTGTAACCCCTTTCGCATTTGCAGACGACCTTGCTATGCTGGTAGTGGCGCGGGATAGGGAGGACCTTATCTTTGATGCACAGCGTATATGCGACCAAGCTCGGGAATAAATGAAAATACATGAGCTAGAACTGGCTGCGCGTAAGACCGAGGATATAGTTCCCAAGGGACCAAGGAAAAGGGATAGATAACATTCGAATGTGCAGGGAAGAGAGTGGTTCCAAAGAAATGTGTGATGTATTTAGGGGTGACTCTGAGCCAAAACGGAAAGTGGGGGGAGCACGTAAAGGCGGTGACTCGAAAGAGCTTAGGTGAGATCCACCGCTTTGGGGGGATCATGCCCAACATCGGAAGGCCCAAAACTGAGAGGAGGAGGGCCCTTCATTCTGTTGTGCAATCGATCGTCTGGAGTAAAACAATTTTAACAAAGGCGTACAGAAAGCATCTCATCCGAGCAGATAGGAAGAGTCTATTGAGGGTGGCATGTGCATACAGCACAGTCTCTGCCGAGACGTTGGGAGTTATCACCGAGTGTATTCAGATGCACGTGCTAGTGAAGGAAAGAGGAAGAATAAACGAGAGAAGAAATGGGGACATAGCCACAGAACGTTTAAAAAAGAAGAAAGGGAGAGGTCCATAATGGTGTGGCAAGAGGAATGGGACGAGACGAGAAGGGTGGCGTAATGGACGAAGACGCTGATTCCTAATCTGAGAAGATGGATGGACTGTTGGCACCGGCGTTTGGACTACTTCCTGAAGCAGATGCTCACAGGACATAATTGTTTCAGGGCATACCTTTACAGATTTGGAAAGGCAGAAAAGACAAATGCCTGTACTGTGAAATATCTGACACTGTCTCACACACTCTATTGGTATGCGATAGACGGATAGGCGAGAGGAGCCTGCTTAAGAGAGAGAGAGAGAGAGAGAGCAAGGAAGTAGGATGCAGTCAGTCACAGAACTAGTGGAGGAGATGCTAAGATCGTCAGATCAGTGGAGAGCAATTCAGAGATATGTGAGGAGAAGAGGTGAGATTGAACAGGGAGGAACAGAGGGAGAAAAGAATTCAGTCGTAGTGAGAACGTGCTAGAATGCGTGAATGAGAGATCGAGTGAACGCCGTGTCGATGTTGCGTCCGTGAGGGTGTTTTTTAGCAGGTAGGTCTCTGGAATTGATGGCGATAACCCCTGCGCGCGGTCTCGGATATCATCATGGCCATATTGGAGGAGTCCTGCATAACCGAGGCTGGAAGGCGGTTCTGCCTACCTTCTAGGACCTAGGTATGTTTCGAACATTTGCCCACCCCCCTAATAAAAGAAGAAAAAAAACTTCATCTGTGAATCAAACAAAACTCCAATCTTGCACATGTTATTGTGGCTACCTAAATCTGCGTCCAGACGTCTGGCGTGCAGGTCAGTGTCATCTAATCTATTCTTCAAAGTTTGGTCACGTACAGTAATGTGGGTGTGTTCTAAAGCCTCACAGAGTTCACGTACACGTATCTGCACATTTCGTGACTATCGTTGCGTTTAATCATCATCATCAACTAGCATCTAACGTCCACTGCTGAACATAGGCATCTCGCTTGCTTTTCCACTTAGTCCGATTTTGCGCCATCTGAATAAAAATTGGAAGCCACTATTTTTATGGTATCTGTCCATCTCGTTGGGGGTCGACCTCTATTTCTGTAAGCTTGTATTCGGGGTCTCCATTCCAAAATTCTTTTTGTCCACCGGTCATCAACTGATCTTGCTACATGACCTGCCTAGTTCCACTTTAGTGTTGTTATGCTTTCAATAACGTCTGCTACTCCTGATGTTTTGCGTATAGTAGCATTGGGTATTCTATCACGTAGAGAAATCCCTAACATAATTCTCTCCATTGCTCTTTCCGCAACTTGTAATTTACTCCCTGTTGTTCTTGTGAGTGTTAGGGTTTCTGCGCCGTAGGTCATCACTGGCAAAATACACTGATTAAATACTATATTGTCAGACACATTGGAATCTTAGACATAAAAATATCCTTCATCTTTCCAAATGCAGCCCAAGCGAGGTTTATTCTTCTTTTTATCTCGATTGTTTGGTTGTGTCGACTTATTCTGATCTCATAGCCCAAGTATTTATAGGAGTCAACTGGCTCGATATCTTTGTCTTCTACTGAGATGTTTTTGTTGTGGACTAAATTTGTCATAAATTGTGTTTTTGAAAAATGTATTTTGAGACCAACTCTTTTTGTGGCAGTATGGAGTTCTTGGAGCATTATCTGTGCCTGATCAAAGCTGTCTGCAATAAGAACGATATCATATGCAAATTTAAGAATATTTAAAAATTTTCCATCTACATTGATGCCCTTTTCGTTCCAATCTATTGTTTTACAAGCGTATTCTAGCAACGTTGTAAATAATTTAGGAGACATTTTGTCTCCTTGCCGAACGCCTCTTTCAATACGAAAAGTCCCAGTATCTTCATTAAGTCTTACACAGGCTGTAGCATGTTGATAGATGTATCTGATGAGAGATATGTATCGGTGATCTATTCTACATTGTGTTAGAGCTTGGAGCAATTTACTTTGATTGACCGTATCAAATGCTTTTTCAAAGTCGACAAAGACAAGTCTCAGGGGTCTATTATATTCAATGGTTTTTTCAATCAACGACTTAATGGTTTGCAAATGATCATTTGTTCCGTATCCAGCTCTAAATCCTACTTGCTCGCAAGGTTGAGAGAAGTCTAGTTTTGATGTCAACCTATTAGTTATTATCTTCATAAACAACTTATTAACGTGAGATAACAATCTAATAGGTCTCTAGTTCTTTAGCTCTCTTATATCTCCCTTTTTGTGCATGACTACTATAACAGCTTTATTCCACTGAGATGGTGTAACCTCTTTTGAAAGGCATAAGTTATATAATTATGTCAATGCTTTCAATACTGTCTTTCCTCCTACTTTAACTGCCTCAATAACGATTTGGTCATCACCTTTTATCATATATATTTATATTAGCATGATTGCGTTTAATAATCTTGTTTTAATAAAATCTTAAAGTAAATACAGGCAGTCTTTTGAAGCATAGTTTACAATTTGAAGTAATTAATTCTGCCTTAATAAAACAAAGCAATTGAAAGATTAATTTACATGGCATACTTTGATTTGTAGAGAACAAGTTTCAAATCGAATGGTATATAAATATTAACAAAAAAGTTATTAAGTTTTTATTTGAAAAAGTAACAAAACATATCGTTAATATGAAAGTAAGTAGTGGAAATAGTTTTTCGAGAACGATTATCAAAGTGGAAATCTAAACGCCAAAAATTTGTAAAAAAGAATCAACTAAATTATTTACTTACTTGTAACGTTGGAATAAATGATCTTAAGGTGTCGTCAATCATGGTCAGTCTGGTGTAACTCAATATCATGTTAATACTGATTTTGCTTTTTTCAATAACTTCGACTAAGGTAGAGACAGGATAGCCTGTTAAACCGATATATCTAGTTTTTCCTTCCTTCTTAAGTTCTTCTACTGTTGGTAAGGTCTCGTTTAGAATGGTGTCCATACTAGGAGCAAATTCTACATCATGTACCTAAATTTAATTAGAAATAGTGTGAAAAAATATGTTTCTAAGTAGAGCCTAAGATTATCAGCAAATAGCAAAAATTGACAAAACTTTATCACCTCAGAAAAGTCATTAATAAAAAAGTTAAACAGAAGAGGATCTACATGCGAACCCTGAAGCTGACCAAGATAGAAATCTAAAGTGAATTCTTTATAAAAACAAACTGAACTCTTTTATCAAGATAACTACTTAACCGATCAAGTGATCTCTATTTATACCGATTTCAAGAAATCGGTATAAATAGAGATCACTTGATACCCAGTCTCGGAAACCCTGACAATGTAGTCATGATGCAAAAGAAGATTTGTAAACGTAGATTTATCTTGTCTAAATCCATGTTGCTCATTAATCAAGAGATTTCTGCAATGCTAAGTAAGATATTTGTTTAGAAACAGTTGAAAAAGTTTAGGGATTAGAAAAAATAACAAGCAGTGCAGTTACAACACTTATGAGGGTCAGGCGTATATATGGGAAGAAATTAGGATGTACCGGTGTACACTATGGTGATCAAACCCTCAATTACCTATGCAGCGACTATGTGGTGGACTTCAAACAGCTGCAAGAGTCAAACTCAGCAAGGTGCAAAGACTTGAGTATATGGGGAGAACTGGTGCCATGCCTACTACTCCAACAGCAGCTATGAAGGCTCTATTAGGCCTGCCTGCCTTGCATTTGATAATACAAGGAGAAGCAAGATTGGGCCTCTACAGAATAAAGCAATCACTGAAATTTTAAAATGAAGTGACAGGGCTTTTGAGTATCACAAGAACCGTGACAAAGGTTATTTGTAATGAGAAACCATACCACATGAAAAAAATACAATTTTAAGAATTCATATAGGAGTTCCAAATAGGAATGTATTGAGAAACAAGGAGTATCATAATGAACATCATCCGTTTTGAGTCCACTGCTGGACATAGGCCTCCTGTAAATAATTCCAATGCATTATATCTTGAGCACCCTGAATCCAGTTGTGCTGAATGCGTTTTATAATATAATACCAGTTTTTCTACCAACTATTGTATTTGATACTTCTGGTAAGGGTCAATGTTTCTGCTCCATACGTTAGAACTGAGAGTACAGATTGATCAAAGACCTTCCTTTTTAAGTTCATGGGAATATCTGATCTAAAGACTTCTCTCAAATAAAATTAATTTTATTTGAGCAAACTGAAAAACATATATAGAAACCGGAAATATCGACCACAATAGAATTAGCGAGTACGATGACATAAACGTTCTGTGGAAAACTATTAAAGAACAAATGAACAATGTAACGGAAAAACATCTAAAAGTAACACCTAAAAATAACAAACAGGAATGGATGACAGAAGAAATTTTACAATTAATGAACAAACGAAGAGAATCTAAAGGAAAAAATGACAAGGACGGAGAATACAAAAGACTAAATAGAATAATTCGAAAAAAAAAATATCCGAAGCAAAAGAGAAATGGCTGGAAACAAAATGCGTTGAAATAGAAGAACTGCAACAAAGGCACGATTTTTTTAATTTACATAAAAAGGTAAAAGAGTTTACATCGACTACCAAGAGAATGACTTTTCACACCATGCTGAACACGGATGGCAAACTGCTATAATCAACGGAAGATAAACTGAAAGAATGGGAAAACTATGTTAAAACGACATACGAGAAGAACCAAGATTGGAAAATAACAACGACAGGCCAACAATTCTGAAATCTGAAATCATAAATGCAATTAATCATCTCAAAACAAATAATAGCCCTTCCAGACGGAATATACCCAGAAACGTTAAAATTAATCAGCGAAGAAAATATCGAAATATTTGTACTTTTATTCAATCGCATTTATGATACAGGTAAAATACCCCAAGATTGGCTGGAGTCAATATTCATCCCACTACCAAAAAAGCCAAATCCACAACACTGCAATGAGTTCCGTCTGATAAGCCTTATGAGTCATGCAGTAAAAGTCCTACTAAAAATCGTAAATAATCGTATCTATAGAAAGTGCAAAACAATCATCGGAGACGATCAGTTTGGATTCAGAGCCGGCATGGGAACGAGAGAAGCCCTGTTCATTTTACTAGTTCCCGCCCAAAAATGCTACGACCAATAGAAAGATATATTTATATGCTTTATAGACTTCGAAAAAGCATTTGATAGAGTAAGGCACGACCTACTATTAGAACGTTTGCAAGAAGTCGGTTTAGATGGAAAAGACATAAAATTCTTAAAAAATTGTACTGGAACCAAAATGCCAGAGTTAGGATCGAAGGTTTCACATCCGCAGAAGTAGAAATTAGGAGGGGAGTTAGACAAGGATGTGTTCTGTCGCCTCTGCTGTTTAATCTTTACTCCGAGTTTCTATTTAAAGAAGCATTGGAGGATTCCAAGGATGGAGTCAATGTGAATGGCATAAATATCAACAGTATCAGATACGCCGATGAAACAGTGTTAATTGCGGATTCCGACTTAGGTCTACAACGACTTATCGACCAGACCAACTCGACCTGTGAGCAATTTGGTATAAAAATAAATATTAAAAAAACCAAAGTGATGTCAATCCGACAAAACCAAAACGTACCTCAACCTTGCACAATAAATGGGCACATTTTAGAACAGGTCAGTAGATTTAAGTACCTGGGATGTTGGATCGATAGCAGCCTAAATCCTGATCTAGAAATAAAATCGAGAATAGAACAGGCTAGAAAATCTTTCGAAAAAATAAAAAAACTGCTTTGTGATTCTCGAATAAAACTCGAAATTCGACTACGTTAATCAAAATGCTACGTCTGCTCGACTTAAAACATCAACCGTAAATAAATTGGAGGCCTTTGAAATGTGGATCTACCGGAGAATACTCAAAATTTCATGGACATCGCATACCTCAAACGAAGAAGTACTGCATAGAATAGGCAAGGAAAGAGAACTTTTTAACACAGTAAAAGTTAGAAAAACATCATACCTAGGCCAAATACTGAGAAATAATAAGTACCAATATGCCCAACTTATAGTGAAAGGAAAAATCGAGGGAAAGAGAGGCCTAGGAAGGAAAAGACTATTGTGGCTCAGAAACATCCGACAATGGACAGGGCTAAATTTTGAACAGCTAATAAGAACAGCTGAAGATAGAGAAGAGTTTAAAATTGTAGTAGCCAACCTCCATTGAGGAGAGGGCACTTTATTAAGAAGAAGAGACTGAAAAACAATACAGAAATGACTCGTAAATAAGTTTGCTATTTCTTCACTTGATTCAGCTGGCAAGTCATTAAAATGCATAACATTTGGAATCCCGTGGTTTTTATTCAAGTCTATATGATTCCATAATTGTTTTGAATCTGAGTAAATAGATTCTTTAATGTTAAGAGATATAAGATATGCAGCAGTTTGTTCTAAGTTCTGAAAATAATGTATAATCAGCTGCCGACTGACTTTTTAAATAACATGTTTTTTAATTATGGAGAAAACCAACGAGGAAATTTTGAAGGCTTATATGTTTTTGTCGGAACATAAAGTAATATTGCCTTAGAGACTCCTTTATAGAAATTATTTACTGAGATATTAATATTTGAGTAATCAAAAATTGTATTCCAGTCAGCTGAATAAAAATAATTGTACAAAAAATAATACAAAATACTTCTAAATTTTTCAAGTAAACTACTTGGGAACAATACATGTGCTATCAATAATTTATTGAATGTTAGATTATATTATTACCTGTAAAACATCCACGTAGTCTACTTTCAGTCGTTTCAAAGAAGTATTTAAACTTTCTCGAGTTTTTTGGGCAGAAAAATTGAACATTAACTTGGGATCCTGCTCGTAACGTCCAATTTTTGTGGCTAGGTAGTAAGCTTTCCTCGGAATTCCTTCCAAACACTTAAATATTAAAATAAGGTGTATATCTGAAGTAATCAAAATGTAGAAAAATCTTAAATTTTTTCTAAAATTTAACTATGAATTGAACTTACTTTTCCTAATATCTCTTCTGATGTTCCATGTCCATACCAAGGCCCAGTATCGATGTAATTAATACCTCTTTTAATAGCCTCGTGGACAGTTTTCTTACATTCTTCAATATCGTACTCACTAATACCAAAAAAATACAAAAGAATATAAATAGGCAGCGGCGGCTCGTGGCCTAAAAAAGTGGCGAAGACGAGGAAACCTTGCAGGAACCAAAAGGAGTTTTGGGACCTACGTCGAGCCCAAATCTCATTAAAAATTCGTTACAAAAATGTATTGAGTTTAGGGCTCTAATAACTTAAAAATAGTTTTTTCTTCTTCTTCTTCTTTAAGCGCCCTGTCCATTGCGAACGTTGGCTATTAACATGGCAATTATAATCTTGTTTGTGGCGCTTCTGAATAGTTCGATCGATGTGAACCCGAACCACTTTCGCAGATTTTGGAGCCACGAGTGTCTTCTCCTGCCTGGCCCTAGCTTACTGTCTATTTTTTCCTGGACAATCAATTGTAGCAGACGGTACTTATCGTGTCTCAATATGTGGCCTAGATATTCAAGCTTTCTTTGTTTAATTGTATTCACGATTTCTTTCTCCTTTCCGATTCTTTGGAGTACCTCTATGTTGGTGACATGTTTGGTCCAGGATATACGAAGAATGCATCGGTAAACCAACATTTCTAATACTTCTAGTTTTCTCGTGAGCATCTCCGTCATCGTCCAGGCCTCCACACCATACAGTAAGATCGGAAAAATGTAGCATTTAACTAGACGTAGTTTTAGGGGAAGAGACAAATCCTTGCTTATGAGAAGCTTTTCCATATTGCTAAATGCTGCTCTAGCTCGTTCTATTCTCGCCTTAATTTCTATGGCCTGTTCACATTTTGCATTTACGTTGGTGCCAAGGTTTTTTAGGGCACATACTAGAAACGATTCATTCTGCTTGCCTGGAGTATTTTAGTTCTATACCTTCGACATTTCATTGGGGTTTTTTTGGCGATTAAAATACCACGCCTGGTAAAAAGAGTTTGTTGAGTTTCGATTCAGCCGCCCACTCTGAGTCAGATGCTGATTGCAGCCGAACACTCTGGATCAGACACTGCAGTGTTTACTAGTTTTGGTCCGCCCCGAGTATTTCATTTCCCCGGTACTACCTATATCTAGGAGGATTTCACGGGAACCTCTCACGGGATGACAAAGAGAGAGAAAGAGAGAGAAGACTAAAGTGAAGATGTCATAGAAAAAATTGCACAAGCCAAATGGAGATGAGCTGGACATGTAGCACATTTAAATGATAATAGGTGGACCAAATTTTGGTCCAGCAAACTGCCTATTACTTTTGTGACAGTATAACTATAACGTAAAACGCAGTGATATTCGAATCGGCATTCGATATATTGACGTGAGAATATCGAACGACGGGAATTGGGAATCGTTCGCTCAATCTGTAACAGAAAGGATGGTCATTGTCATCGAATTTATGATGAGCTTTATGTTTTGCCACTTAAATAGCTGGGAATACCACCTTAAGATTATTAAGATATGTTTATTGTTAGTATGTTGTTAGTATGTTATATATGTTATGTTAGTATTTTATTAGATTTGATTACTCTTATTCTAGTGTAGTTTGTAGTTAATATATATATTCGGTTTTATAACGTCTTACGACGTTGTCCGACTACCAAACGCCACTGTATTCTGTCTTGAGTTAGGTCTTCGTCCAGATTTCGAGCGCTAATCGCTTTCCTAACTCCCAGGTTCCAGCTCTGTGGTGGTCTTCCTCGTTTCCTCTTCTCTGGGGGTTGCCACATCATCGTATTTTTAGGCAATCTTTCGTCCCCCATTCGGCTCACATGCCCATACCATATGAGCTGTTTTCTCTCCATATCCTCAACTATAGTGCCCTCTATCCCCATTTGTTGTTTTATCACTTCATTCCGTATTCTGCCGGCTCTTGATATTCTCATCGATCTTCTGATGGCATCCATTTCCGTGGCTTCGACCTTTTCTTATATTTCTCGGTTATTCTCCATGTCTCAGCTCCATAAAGTAGGCTAGTTTTAACCATTGTCTCATAGATGTTTCATTTTTTTTTTCTTTGATATTTCTTTACTCCATAGAACTCCGTTCAAACATGCTATAGCTCTTCGTGCTTGTACAATTCGATGTTCTATTTCTCGTTCGTCTTTTCCACTAGGGTCGAAGATGACGCCCAGGTATTTATATTCGTCACATGGATTTATTTTTTGATTGTCATCGATATCGAGTTGTTCTGCTTCAGCTCCAATTGAGAGGTATTTTGTCTTTTCTAAATTGATATTTAATCCCCATTTCTGGTATTCTTCAATTAGTTTTCTAAGCATGTATTCCATGTCGTCTTTGTCATTTGAGATCGCCACCTGATCATATGCAAACTATAAAGTATATATGTAATCCTGATCGTTCAATTGTATACCCATTCCTTAGACTTTCCTTTTCCATTGTTTCAGAGCTGCAGAGATATAAATCTTAAATAGAGTAGGAGAGATACAACAAGTTTGTAGTTAATACAAAAATAAATTCTCGAGTGCTTGTACGTTAATAATATTAAGTAGTTTATTCACTCACGGTTGAAACAAAAATAAACTATAAAGGTATAAACAGTAGAAAGTATTCGTTTATTGAAAAAGATATTATGATTACTACAAGAAACTATAGCAAGCCAAGCGGAATGGCTGGGTAGTAGGTGACAAAAGTAATAGGTTACCGGAACCTATTACCTGTCTGTCACCGGAACGATGGAACCTATTACTGCAAAGTAACTGTATTTTCCATTGCTAGACCAAAAGACTTATAGAATGAAGACCTAGAGAAGATAAAAGACACCGAGGTAGACCACCAAAAAGATGGATGGATGACTTGAGAAAAACAGTGGGAAATTCGATACAGATGGCACAAAATAGAGAACAATGGAAGAATATGGAGGAGACCTATATCCAAAATTGGATGCAAGAGATTGCGGAATAATGATGGTGATGATACTAGAACCGAGGGTGAAGAGATACTTAAACAAAAAAAAAGCAGTATTAGACAGACTAATAGAACTGACGTATCTAGTTTTTATAAATCAAGTCAATTCTTCGGTCTGGAGGCAAATCTATCAATAATATCCTCGTAGAAAGGATGCTTCTGCATAAGTTCATTCAACAGTTCTTTATGAAGTGCGATAACAGTCAAACTGGATAGCCTATCTTGTGAAATAGTGTTTCTTGTAAAACTTTTTAACCTTTTTAATCACGAAAAACTTCTTCCTACGGATACGCTTGTCGATGGACTTGTCAGAATTAAACAAAACAAATTATAGGCTTCTGCAACAATGTCTTTAATTGGTTGTAACTTTATAACCAATTCTTGCAAATTCACATTTTTGTAATTTTCGTCGGCATAAAGAAGGCAGAGCTCATTTTTAAGTCTTTGATGTTTAGTAAATTGTGTGCCATAAAACTCAAATAAATTTTGAAAAGCGTTGGAAGGAAAGTCAAACTATGTAACTCAAATTTTGTTGTAGGTATCAGCTAAGCTTACGAATTTTAATTTATCACAATCTTGAAAACGTATATCCATTTCGATTAAAATATGATCATATATTTCAAAAAATAATGCTCTGCATCACACCTAAACCGTTTGGAAGTATTAATGACCGTCATTGTGCTTGCTTTTTTAAAAATAGAATTAAAAAATTCTTCATTTCTTTTATCACCTATTAATTGACGAGTTCTCCTTATCTGGTTTAAACAAAAATTAATATCTAGGGACTTTTTTGAAGAACATCATATAAAATATCTGTTATATGAAAAATGTCGCTAAAAACTGTTGCTAAAAATGTGAACTCAAAATCATTTAAATCTCTTAAAAACCCTTTAGCCAGCTGAACTGATTTGCGGTCTGACTCTTCAGAATTCATTGTATGATCAAAAACCTCTTTTAATTTTTCCCAGTCTTCAATAATTACACTGATTAATTTTAAATTAGACGACCATCTTGTCTCTGTAATTGTTGGCATACGTCTAGCCGATGTAGATGCAAGAGCGTACGATCGTTTTGCTAAACTATGAAAAAAACGATTGGATTCCGGTAATAGTTGCAAAAAAATTCGACATTTTGATATTTTCTTAAAGCTTTGTTGTAAAACAGGATTAGAATCAACAAGAGAAATAATTATTTTGATAAAATAGTATGGCATTTTACTAAAATAGTAAGTAAATAACTCTCAACAATTTAAAATAAAATTTGCTTGTCAGCTTGTCACACAAAATGGAGAAAATGTTTTCATACGTCCATGATGTTTTCAAACACAAGATCAACTTCGTGATGCTTCGTAAGAAATCATGAACTTCGTGCATCTTCGTATCAAAACAATAAACAATAACAAAAGTATTCATGTTTTGGACACTTTTTAAAGCGTTCACCGAGTCTATATATTATACGTCATTGGTTATAATATTATCATTTATGTAACCAGAAATGCACTCAATTAATTCATTTTGAATTGTTTTTGATTCTCCACTAAAAATTTTTTTGATTTTTTCGTAATGATTTTTAGTTTCCACTTCATGTCTACCTAAAATTATTGTTGTCCAAACGAAATCCACGAGAACACTTAATATCCGAAATCCGAAACAAACCACAGAAAAATGTATTAATAAAGTGCACTAAACAAATAAACTTAATACTGTGACTCAACTAAACTAATTACTATACTACATAAACTATACTGTATAAAAAAATCTATATAATAGACTAAATTTCAAAATATTGTCGCTGAGAGAAATTTCCGAAAAAGAGAAATACTACATACACATCAACTAGTCGGTGAAAACGGATAGTTTATTTTTCAATGGATCTGCTGATCTGCAGCACTTCCCAGTTTTCTCAGCTATCACCAATGACAGGCTGACGTCACGTTGCCATAGCAACCGTGAACGCTTATGCAGATGAATTTCGCATTTCAAAAATGATATACAATCATGGGCGTCCACAGAGAGGGGCAGCGGGGGCAGCTGCCCCCCCTAGAGAGGACGAGGCGAGTGTAAAATTGGTGAATAAGCAATATAGAAAAATACAAAGTTGTAACTTACTCTTGATTTTGAATGCAACCACTCTGCACATTCTACCTGGGACGAAAAAAACACATAAACTTAACAAATTCTATACAATTCTACATAATTCTTATTTATATAACTGACTATAAACCTCATAAATTATTAAAAACTATGAAAATAAAAATTGACAAATTCATTCTTCACTTTAATTGAATATAATTTACTTATAAAAATCTATTTTAAATCCACCTGTTTCCGCCCGCCACTGTTAGAAACGGTTTGGTTTGCCTGTCTGCGCGAAATACTACGTCACAAACCCTATTGTTATTGTTTATTGTTGTAGTCTAGATGCAGAAGTAATAAGTTGTAAGACTGATCTCCCGAATTTTGATATTTTTGATGGCTAGCGAGGCTGCGGAAGCTTTTTTAACAGCAAAACCTGTTGACATTCAGATCAACGAGTTTGCGAGCAAAACAATAGAAACTAACAGAAAAGTCCTTTGTTCAGTTATCTCATGTATCGTCTTCTCAGGCACTCATGATTTACCTCTCCGTGGGAAAGAATCGAGTGAGGGTGTTTTCCAAGACTTGTGTAATTTTCGAATTGATGCCGGAGACAAAATTTTGCAGGAGCATTTTGAACATGGCGCTAAGAATGCGTCATATAAGTCAGTGAGGATACAAAATGAAATAATTGACATCTGCGGCCAAGTAATTAGAAGAGAAATTTTTGAAAAAGTCAAAAAAGCTAACTACTACGCAACATTAGCTGACGAAACCGCTGACATTTCAAGCAAAGAACAGTTGTCAATTGGTTTGAGATATTTTGATGAAGAAGCAGAAGAAATTCGTGAAGAATTTACAGGGTTTGTTCAGCTCGATGCTCTGAATGCACCAAGCATTGCAAAGGCAATTGATGATTTCCTGACAAATCATGAAGTTGATCCACTCAAATGTGTCGGCCTGGGGTTTGATGGTTGCTCCACTATGTCGGGAAGGGAAGGCGGGGTTCAAGCAACTTTAAGCAAAAAATACAGCAAATCTTTTTTTTTTCACTGTGCGTCACACAGATTAAATTTAGTTGTGAACGATTTGAACCGTTTAAATGAAGTGCGAAATACTATTGCCACTCTTAAAGACATAACCAATTTCTTCCGTGAATCAGTATTAAGAAGGAATATGATAGCAAATATCCCTAGCCTCTGCGAAACACGGTAGTCCGAGAAATACAAGGTAATTAGGGTTTTTCGAAAAAATTTCATTGAAATTGTACAGGCCTTGCAAACTCTATCCGTTGAAGGAAATTTGGCCGCTAGAAAAACATCTTATCAGTTGCATTCCTCGGCATTTATTGTCGCTGTCATTTTGATTGCAAAATGTTACATATTTTTTAAAAACACAGACAGAACGCAGAGAACGTAACGAACACTTTATTGCATAAAGCCAATAAGATAGCCGAAGAATGCGGTTTTGAATTATCTACCCCTAGAACTGTAAGCAAGCAACAGCATAGAAGCAATCAACCAGCTGATACGCCTACTGAATACTGGAGGCGATCCATGATTCTTCCGTATCTGGATTCTATCATATCTTCTCTAGAGACACGATTTTCCGAAGAAAATACGCCAGCCTTCGCTCTGAGTCTTCTGCATCCCAAGCATTTTTCAAAAATTGATTTAAATTGCCTTAAATTAGAACTGAGACAATCCTTAAACTACTATGAAATACATGGAATAGATGCAGAGCTAGAAGTACGGGTAGAACACTGGAATAAAAAACTCCTTAATAATGAGTTAGATAACTTCAACACCCTTGAAATTTTTGAACTGGTTCGAGCGTCCACTACTTTTTATTCTTTAACAAAAAAATTGCTGGAAATTATCGTAACATTGCCTTGCACTACGTGTACAGTTGAGAGATCGTTCAGCAGTCTTCGAAGAATAAAAACATGGTTGCGGAGTACAATGGTCGAAGACCGCCTTAATGGGTTAGCTCTAATGAGCATTCATCGGAAACAAATATTACCAAAAAAGGAAGAGTTTGTAGAGAAAGTTTTACAAGAATTTACAATTGATCCGCCTAAATTGTTCAAATAATAGTGTTTAGGAACAGACAATTTATATTGCTTCACAAATCGAAGGCTTATCCAGGAGGAAATAAACTTGTTAAATTTGCATCACGTTTTTGTAAAAAGCATTAAAATAGTTTTTAAATATTTAAATTATATTTAGTTTGCTTCATTTTTGTATGAAGGCGTTGAGTTATAATTTTGGCTCCAAAAACGTTATTTTCAAAACTTTTCTGAGGGAAACCCTTTCCCCTCTCCCCTCTCAGTGAAGACTCTCAATTTACATCTATATGTATTATAACCAATACCAATTATCTTATCTAACCAATTTTTTTATTTCTCAAATCTGCCTCCCCTAGTTTTGGTCCTGCGGACGCCCATGTATACAATATAAATGAATCATACACGGCTAGTGACACAGGTCAAGACTTGACCGTCAAGTACCTACCAACCTACCGCTAATAAAGCTAGTTGTCTTTTTTAATTATTAATTAAAAGAGAATAAATAATTAATTTCAGAATTTAGATATAATAATGTTGTTTTTACTTTTTGTCTCAATTTAATTATATTTTTTTTGTGAACCTCACCTTCACCTACTTCACCTGGCCGGCCGCCGCTGTAAATAGGTAAACTTATTAAATAAAACTGAATTTGTTGAAAAATCATGTCAGTTAACATTGTAAATAACGACACGGTTATTTCGACCGTGCGCGTGTACCTTTTCTATGCGTGTGTTCAGCTGAGTGCAAAACTGAAGATACTCAGTTTTTTCTATCAAGTGATCCAGAATCGGACGGGTATTTCCGTCAATATTTCTAACAAATCTTTCTCATAGAGGCACACACGTGCTTAAGATATTTTCATTACCATTAAACATTATCATTTTTTGAGAAATAAAGTTATCTGAGAAGATATTTATACTTACCCATAAAAATAAGAAAATCCACCGGTACCCAATGACAATTTTGAAACGTGCATATCAGTGTTTCCAAGTTTAGTATACTGCATTTTTCTCACCGCTGCCTCATCGTGAAATCCCTGTACAAAAGTTTCGGGTAGAGTCATATTTTATAGTACCTAACCACTACGGTTAACAAACCAAATTCATATAAAAATAACTTTTTCGAATCTGAGAGTAAGATTAATTATGTTGAGTACCGTTATACACACGACTGTTATCGTCTTATCAGCTGTTGGTAAGGTGAACGCCACGTCAGTGAAAGATACTTAATTTCAATTTCAACAATGTCAAGGTTATATCGTTTAAATAATTTTTTATATAGGAGTAAAATATTTTTAGTGCAGTATCTAATCGTAAAACCAGCTAGGTATTATGGAAACTAAAGTGGATTTGCCGTGACCCGTCAAATCAAAATACCCGACGGCAAAAGAATTGATATAAAAAAACAACAAGATCAAAAAATGGGCGTGATACAAACTTCATAAATATCAGCTGATACGAATTAATTATTTCTATATATACCGGGTGGTCCAATAAGCCGATCTCTCGGCTATATATCAGAAACTATTCATGTTATAACTTTAGGAGGAAAAATTCCTTAGTAAAAGTGGCCAAGAGAAATCGCTGGAAATATCTTCAAGTTTCTGGGTTAACCGCTAGGGGGCGTAACCTGTGAAGAAAAATTAGACAACCAGCTTTTTGTGAAATATACTCAATTATACCAATTGTTAAATAAGTAAACTAGAAAGCGGCCTAAATTCTGCACAAAGTTCTCAAGTACTTTTTTTTTCAAATAAAGGGTGGGGAGTGGGAAAGTATTTGTGGATAAATACCTATAACTTTGGTTTGTATCATTCGATTTTAACGAAATTAGTGTTATTAGAAAGAGTGTGAATGATTTAATTTATATCTACTATAAAACAATTGCATTTAGTTTTAATTGTCATGGGTAGAGGGTGCTTTCGAATAGAAAAAATTAAAATTTGTTTTTGTTCAAAATGTTTAATGGAAACACCTATTTATTGTAAATCATAATGAAACTGGATTAAATTCGTAACAAAATGGCGCAAACCGCATGTTGATAGCTTTTGTCGAACTCGAGATATGAATAAAAACGCATAAACATAAGTAAGTATAGTATTCACTTACCCTTTATAATGTAACTTGAAATTAAATATGTGAAAGATCATACAAATAGCTCGATCACTAAAACTTGTCCAAAATCACTAAAATCACTAAATGTCCAATTAAATGTTCAAATGGTTTTCCATCGTTTTCTACACAAAGATATAATCTTTCGCGAGTAGACATAACAGCTGCTTCAATCTCAGCTGTTGATATACTATTTATTGCGTTTATAATGCGCTGTTTCATGTCGTCTCGCTTGATTACTCGAGTTTGGTACACTAAGTCCTTCAATCTTCCCCACAGATAAAAGTCCAGACATGTTAAGTCTGGAGATATAGCTGGCCATGAAAATATACTTCTCTTTCCAATCAATTTATTTGGATAACTTGCATATAAATAATCTTGAACTCTTCTGCAAAAGTGCACAGGGCACCCGTCATGTTTAATATCACATATCTTCTTGTTTGTAAGGAAATATTTTCCAATAAAAAAGGCAACTGATTTTCCAGAAAATCCAAATATGTTTCGCCATTTAATGTTCTATCAAAGAAATATCGACCTACGATCTTTACATCAAATAAACCACACCAAACATTAAGACTCCATCTACCTTGAACCTGCACCTCATGTATCCAGTGCGGATTTTCTTCAGCCCAATAATGCATATTATGCAGACTAACATCACCCGCACTGTTAAACGTAGCCTCGTCTATCCACAAAATCTTTGACATGATATGCGGTTATTCTTCTAGGAGACTTAACATCCAATTACAGTAATCCAACCTTGCATGAAATTCTCTCTCATATAAAGCTTGGTGGAGAACTACATGATAAGGATGCAGTTTAAAAAACAGAACAACAAATATTGGTGAAAAAGAAACCACTATATTTACTAAAACTCAAAAAATCTTGAAAAATCCACAAGTGTTTCACAAGATAAATTGTTCATAAGTATTTTTAAGAAACAGATAAAAGGATAAAAGCGCCGTGTTGCCGTTTTTATCGGAATATTAAAATAACAGTTGAATCTAAAGTTTAAAGGGAATTCCAAGTTTTATCATTTAGCATACACCTAACATTTATTGTACGATGCGGTTGTGCTTCGTCATGTTGAAGCCACATGTTTCATCTTAATTCCAAGAAAACATCCTCTAACAAGCCATGCAATTCGTCTGTGAAAAACATATGATACTCATTGTCAGTAACCATTCAGTCGAAGAAGTAAGGTCCAAACTCAAAACCAGACCTTTGGCATACCCTGCATAAAATATTCATTAATGAATTTCTCCATTTAGTATTGTGTTAGTTAAATTTTGTCTTCCACCAATAAAAAACCATTTAATGAATACTAAATTTTTTATTAAAGCTTTATTTTAACAAGAGTATTTGCTTTACCGAAACTATAATAAGCCAAAAATGGACAAACTTCCATTAACCAAAGAGCCAAATGCTCTAACCAATTGAAAATTAATCTAAAAATACTATATTTCAACAAAAGGTTTACAGCAAATCCTAAAAACCAAAATCTAAACCTCATGATGAGACTCAAGTCAAACATCTTCTTGTCTTCTACAGGCTTCTGGTTATTGTTATTATTGTTGTTATCTGCAGGTTTAAGTAAATCGTAGAGGTAGTTCATCATTACTTTATATCTTAGTGCTGGATTCATTGTCCAAAGACCGTGTACCAAATGTCTACTCATTTTCAAATAGGTGCGATCTTTTTTGTCGACTTCAGGAAAAAATGACCTATCTATTAAAAGGTTGCAAATTTCTTTGGTTTCTTCAACTGACTCACGGCAAATATTGAATCTGAAAAGTAGAGCATTATTTACTTGAAAATTTGTAAAAGAAAAGTGATCACGAATTAATGAATTCAGTATATACCTTTCTTCAATACCCATTAAATATCCCACCACTCTCCAGACATGAATAAAAGCTTTCCATTCGTCTTCGCTAACGTTGTGCAATCCAACCATTCCTGGCCTTGCTAGTTGGAATCCCATAAACCCGAACTGTGTAAACGCCATATCTGCTTGGGATATTCTACATAGACCAGCTGCGCAGCCTTTTTTACTTGCGGCGGTGTGTTTCTTGTTTACTTCCTGTATAGATCTCCATAACCTAAAAAAATTATTAAAAATATGATTTTCAACATTTTGGCATGAAAAAAAGTGGGTAATAGTCCAGGAAAATAAGAAACTGAGAAACTGAAGGTAGACAACCATACCTACAAATACACCTCCACTTTTCCCTACCTAGGCTCAATAATAAATGACAACAACATCAGTCAAGAGATACAAGCACGGATTCTTAGCGGTAATAAGTGCTTTTATGCATACAAAGACTTAATGAAAAGTAAGTTACTGAATCGTGAGTCTAAGCTTACAATCTATAAAACAGTTATTAGACCAGTGGTCATATATGGATGTGAATCGTGGACCCTCTCAACCACTGATGGAAATCAACTGAGAATATTTGAGCGCAAAATACTAAGGAAGATATTTGGACCAATGCAGCAATGGTTTGTGAATAATTAAAATGAACTACGAGCAGGATGAACTAATGCATAAGATAAAGACTAAACTGGCTTGGTCACCTAGAAAGAATGCCAGATAATCGAGCTGTAAAAGTAGTCCAGAGATGGAAGCCCCAAGGAATCAGAACAAGAGGAAGGTCCCGTAAAAGATGGATACACGACTTAGAGAGGGATCTTAAAACCATGAACATCAGGCAGTGGCGAAGGAAAGTGTCCGACAGCGCGGAATGGAAGAATATTGTTAAGCAGGCCAAGACTGCCAAGCCAAATTAGAACTGGTTAAAAAACCCACACAAAGTATATTTGATATTAAGAGATTAAGGGAACCACAAACAAAGGAACAAACTGTAAAAACTCTTACTGAAAATCTACGTAATGCCCAAGAACTGAATAAAAGTAGCTATAATATTGATCAGAAATGGGAAAATATAAAAGTAGCAATAATTAAAACAGCAAATGAAAACTTAAAACCAAAGAATAGAAAACATAAAGATTGGATGACTGAAGAAATTCTACTATTAATGAATGAAAGAAAATCATTCAAAACAAAAAATCCAATAAAATATAATGAAACTGATCGATTAATAAAAAAGAGAATAAAAGAATCTAAGGAGAGAATGTTACATGAGCAGTGCCAAGAACTAGAAGTATTTGAGAAAAAATATGACTTTTTTAACATGCATAAAAGAATTAGAGAATTAACAGGAATGAGAAAAACACTTCAAACTAGGAAACTAAGAGATGAAAGGGGTGCACTTATAACAGATATAAACCAAAAATGCAGAGATGGACACAATATATAGCACAACTTTTTGAAGATAAAGAGAGAACAGAAGCACCAAAAGAATTTAAGGATGATACTGGGCCTGACATTATACGAGAAGAAATTGAATATGCAATGAAACAAGCTAAAGGTGGTAAATCTCCCGGGCTGATGAAGTTCCTATCGAATTACTTAAAATTGTGAATACTGAATCTATTGATCTTCTTTTGGATCTATTTAATACCATATATAGAACAGGTATAATACCTAAAGAATAGCTCCAATCAACATTCATACTGCTTCCCAAAAAAGCCAATGCAAAGAAGTGCAATGAACATCGCACCATAGCCTTAATGAGTCATATCTTGAAATTGTTTTTAAAAGTAATTCACAATAGAATACATAAGAAATTAGTTAAATGCATAAGTAATACACAAATGGGATTTAGGAAAGGACTGGGAACACGAGATGCACTGTTTGCATTAAGTGTTCTTTCGTAGAGATGCTTAGATATTAATCAGGAAGTATATGCCTGTTTCATTGATTTTGAGAAGGCATTTGACAGAGTGTAGCATAATCGACTTAAAGAAATTTTATTAAATAAAAACATAGACAGTGGAGACATTAGAATCACCTGTAACCTCTAGTGGAATCAAACAGCAAAAGTGAAAGTTGAAAACGAACTGACCAAGGATATCAAGATTCGCCGCGGGGTCCGCCAAGGGTGTATTTTATTACCCTTGTTATTCAATTTATACAGTGAAGCCATCTCAGAATTAGCGCTTGCCGAGAGCAGTGAGGGCCTTATAATAAACGGTGAGCCACTTAATAACATAAGATATGCTGACGACACCGTCCTTCTGGTAGGAACACTAGAAGAACTGCAACACCTTGCTGAACAACTAAATATATATTGCAACGATTATGGACTAAAAATCAATTTGAAGAAAACCAAGTTCATGGTATTTACAAAAGCACAAAACATCAAAGTTTAGTTAGTACTAGATAATACAGAAATTGAACAAATATCTTCGTACAAATACCTTGGAGCATGGATCACAGAAGATACTGATCAGACAAAAAAAATAAGTTGCCGCATTGAAATTGCGCGGTCAACTTTTAATAGAATGAGAAAACTTTTTTGTAATCGCGATATCAATATATCGCTCCGGATAAGAATGCTTCGATGTTATATTTTCTCTACCCTTTTGCATGGAGTTGAAGCTTGGACACTTAAAAAATCCAACATTAAAAACCTAGAAGCATTCGAAATGTGGTGTTACCGACGTATTTTGAAAATATCATGGATGGATCGCAAAACAAACGAACAAGTTCTCGAACAACTCCATAAAAATCAGGAAATTGGAATACTTGGGGCACATAATGAGAGGTGAAAAATACGAACTACTAAGGAATATAATGCAGGGTAAAATCAAAGTTAGAAGAAGCGTAGAAAGACTTAAAATCTCGTGGCTACGCAATCTCCGTGAATGGTTTGGATGCAGTTCAATTGAACTATTCAGGTGAGTAACCAATAAAATTATAATTGCCAGAATGATTTCCAATCTCCGATAGGAGTGGAACTTGAAGAAGAAGAAGAAGGCCAAGACTCACAAAGGGTTATGGTGCCAGTAGAAGAAGAAGAAGAAGTTGACGATTCAAGTGAAAGGCAATTTTTTTCGAATTTGGCACATTAAAACTTTAAAGTATGTTCTTCCAAATGATGCTAAAATGATGCTCTTAATTATTATAAACAAAGCTGCTGTGAATTATTAAAAAAAAGGAACAAACTAACTTCGTCCCAAATTGTCCTAGGATAACTTTTTCTTTTTTAAATTTGTGAAAAAATGTAATCTTTCCAAATATGAAAAAATAATTTTCCCATAGACAATGATTAAAAAGTTATTCTAATTGTTTATAAGCAAAAAATCGATGTTTTTGCAAAATTATTTTGCAATATTCAAAACTGTTTCTCTTTATTTATTTTTAATACATAATAAGTAACATAAATAATTTCTAGACAATTGAGTTAGTGCCATAACAGCTTTAAAAAGACCACGTGTTCTGGAACATTGTGATTACTGGATTGTTGGACTGCCAAATAAAAAATAAAATGCATGAAATGGTGATAATAAATGATCAATAATAAGCAATGTTGTTTTTGAAATAGAACAAAAGCAAAATCGTTGACGTACACTTACTTTGATCCAGGATTTAGGTCTTCTTTATACCATATTACCATATGAAAAATAGTCGATATGTATCTTATGTAAGCAGTGAAGTCACTACTGGACTTCTGTGTTAGTACTAAAATTTTCAGAATTGTAGGTATTGATAAAACTGCCAAAAGTCCGTTGAGTTTGGCGAATAACATCGCAAAAATATGCCTAAAGAAAAATTGCTGACCCCTACAAACAAGATTAATAAGGTTAAGATTAATAAACATATGATCTTTTCTCTAAAAATCAGAAGTTTAGTATACTAATGGGAATTACAGTAAATTGTACTATTTTAAATGCTATTTACCTTTTGTAAAGAGCCTCATCGTAATAAGCTGGTAGTTCACATTTTTTACAAACGCTTGATTCTACATAGGTTTTTTTTCCTTCAGTTAATAAGCCATCGACAAATCGCTGGGCACTTGCAGCTGAAAAGGAAATTCGTATTTTAATTTTTGGGAATAATATGTCCGTTGCATAAAAAGGGTGACCAACTGGACTGTAAAAACTATGGAGGTGTTACTCTTAAAGACTTAGACATTTTACAAAGGATATTGTTGGTTAATCAATGCGTATTTACTGCTGGAAATTCAACTACACATCCAATTCAAGCACATAGGCAGATTATAGAAAAGTCACTAGAATATAACATAGATACACACCATCTCTTCGTCGACTTCAAAGCAGCCTAGGATGACAGTGTGAAAAGAACTGCATTATGTAATGCAATAATAGGTTTTGGGATCCCACCTACGTTAATTAAGTTGACCCAACTAACAGTGCAAAACGTAAGCTCATGCGTTAGAATTGAAGGAGAAAACTCTACTTTCTTTAACATTAATAATGGTCTAAGACAGGGGTACGCGCTGGCGTGTCTACTCTTTAATATTGCATTGGAAAAGGCAATTAGACAATTAAATATTAGAATGAATGGAACTATTTTTAATAGATCGACGCAAACTCTCGAATTCGCTGACGATATAGTAATAGTGGGCAGAAGTATTATAGACACGGTGCAGTGTTTTATAAGGCTTGCTCATGCGGCAAGTGAATTAGAACTTGTAAATGAGGAAAAAACCTAATATATGTTAGTTTCTAAAAACCCTCGAAATATATAACGATACCTTTAAACAAGTCAAAGAATTCACATATCTTGGATCGCTAGCAAACGCAACAAACACCCCAAGCGACGAAATCAAAATACTCATAGCAGTAGCAAACAGAACTGTTCACGGTCTCCAGAAACATTTAAATAATAAAAATATAAAACGTGCAGTAAAGCTCAATATATACAAGACCTTAAGGGTGGCCGCACACAGAAAGAGCAAAACTGTTTTAGTCAAAAACGTTTTTGTTTGAAACGTAAACGTTTTTGTTCCAAAAGAAACATTTTGTTTTCAAGAGAAACAAAATATTTTCACAAACCATACTGCAATCAGTTTTATTAAAGATGTTGACAGATAACAACGAAATTGCACTAGTTTTCTGACAGTTGTTCCTCCTACAGGACGAAAAAACGCAAAATAAAAGAATACTTCTTGTTCACTACTCGAGCGGTTTCAATAAGGGAATTCCAAAAACACGTTGCGCCTGCGTACATTGAAATGTTTCGATACAAAACGACGATCCAGTAATCAACATCAAACAGACTGACTGAAACTAAATGAGCTTAAACATGTTTTAGACACACGAATAATCAGTGTGCGTCAGCTCATTTCATTTATAAGGAAACATCAGCATCAGACTCGTTCAGTCAACAACGTTTTTGTCTAAAACAGTTTTGCTCTTTCTGTGTGCGGCCACCCTAATAAGACCAGTTTTGATATATGGGGCTGAAACGTGGACCTTATCTCAAAATGATGAAAGACTTCTTGGTATTTTTGAGAGAAAAATTCTTAGAAAGATTTTTGGGACCGTAAATGAAAATGGGCTATGGCGTCAAAGATATAACTTTGAACTGTATCAGTTATAAGCCGATCGAGATATTGGTGAAATTCGTTGAAATGCGTTAAAATGGTGACATCTTAAATTTATTACAAGCAAATAGACGATCAGATAATAATGACAATTAATGAAATTAACAAGAACAAGACCAGAGTTATAATGCCAACAGGAGAAACATAATGCATAGAACTAAAAGGAGAAATCCGCGAAGGAGACTCGCTCAGCCCATTGTTATTCAATATGGTGATGAATCAAATAATTCACGAAGCATGAAAACGACACAGATATCACATGGAAGCGCATAAAATCACGATACTATGCTATGTCGATGCTGCAGTACTAATTACTGATAACTGATGACCTACAAAGGCAGCTCCACACCTTCAATATCACAGCAAACAAACTTAATATGAGAATATCAGTAGAAAAAACTAAATGTATAGTATTCAGTAAAGAACCGCGTAGATGCAAACTAGAAATAGACGGCAAAATTGTAAAACAAGTAATGAAATTCAATTACCTAGGACTAGAGATCACTAGTGACAGGAATATAAGAACAGAGACCACAAGGCAAGCATCAAAAGCGGCAAGAGTAAGTGGTTGCCTCCGAGAAACCATATAGAGAAACAAATATCTGACCACGGAAAGCAAAATGAAAATATACAAGACAACAGTAAGACCAATCCTTATATTTGCAGCGGAGATAAGGGCCGATACAAGAAAAACGAAATAACAAATCAACAATATCGAAATGAAAGTATTAAGATCAATAGCGGTCATATCATTAAGAGACTGACAAACCAACAGAAGTATACTCGAACAATACTAAATTCAAAATATTAACAGGTGGATAAAAACAAGAAAAGAAACTAAAACGAACATGAAAACCGAATGGGACCAGATAGGTTAGCGAACATCTGTAAAAACAACAAGCCGTATAGCAGAAGACCCGTTGTAACTAACCTCGAGTTTTAACCTTGTTTAGGCTTACGCCTCTTCATGGAGGCCAAAAAGATGGAAAGATAATGTACGGTGAACAACGACTGAAACAAAATAAGAGGCAGACAAACAGGAGTAATCCTAATCGCACGAAGAAGAAGAAGAAGAAATTAAAATGCAGAGACTTAGATGGGCTGGACACATTGCTAGGATGTCAAATCACGAATACACGAAGAGATCAACATTTTTAAAACTAGAGGGCATAAGAAACAGATGGCTACCACGAGAAGATGGATTGATGATGTGGTAGAAGACCTACAGATTCTAAGAGTCAGAAGAGGGAGGGAAGTTGTCAGGAATCGACAGGAGTGGCGACTTCTTTTTGAGCAAGCTAAGATCTACAACGGATTGTCGAGTCACTTATGATGATGATTTTAATTTTTGACCAAAACTTGATAGAAAGTGAAAGCTATAATAACTAAGAATTAATTATAAAGACGATTGTACATAGAAATTTATGAGCTCTGCAGGATACAAATAATAAAATATAAAGAGAGCGGAAGATTGATAGAAGTGTATGAACATGATGTTTTTTTTCGCAGCAAAGTGGCTTGTTGTAGATTTTTATTTATTCATGAAATCCCTTCCAGGACTCAGAAACCCTGTACCAGCTTATAAAATATAATGGATTATTACGATATAATTTTGGAGTCAATTGGTATTCTCAAAAAAGTGTTTGCTGCCTATGATCTCGTATCTGGCCGTCATACAAGATATGGTTGGCTGTTACAGGTTCTCTCCAACATAGTCTGCTCCTTAACTATCCATGAAACAGCTCTTTATATGCAGTTGTTACTTGTGCTTGTTTACCATGTGCTGGTCTGGGTATGGTTTTCCAATGTTAGCTATATTATGTTCGGATGTAAGCATTTTCCGATCTCGGACGGTACTTTTTAGCACTTCTACGGACGGCTCTGGACCAAAGTATTTTGTAACTAATTCTCTTCTGGTAAGTTCATCAGCTCTTTCATTGCCTTTTTGTTGTCATCATTTTCTTCATTTGCCATCTTTGTACCTTGCTTATTTTAAGGATGGCACTTTTTTGCTGCAGTTTTAGTCGCCATACCCATACGTCATACGCCATACGTAATTGTTGGTTCTTCGCCATGTTATAAATGCTGAATAATATGTCTAGTTTTAAAACTCTTAACTGCACCTGGTTATCATTAATGTAGTCATCGGTCTTTTATTTATTCGTTTCATCTGCTGATTTTAACTAAGCCCTATATTTGAAATAGTTTTGTAACTAGTCAGAGCCTGGTGTATTATATCACTGACTGTTCCATTACTGACTGTATGCCACATACTTTAAAACGATAAATACCCTTCTACATGTCATTATGCAAGGAAGAGTAGAGGGAAAACTTAGAAAGAAAGAAAAAATCTTGGCTGAGGAATATCAAAGATTGGACTAACCTCAGTGTTATACAGATATTTCACGTTGTAAAAGATAGGGAAGCGTTTAAAGAAGTGATCGCTAACCTTCATTAGAAGACAGCTGAATAAGCAGGAGAAGTTCCATTACATTTGTCGTGAACTAAGACTACCATGATCAACTGAATATAGGTGAAAAACAGAAAAATATTGTTTAGTAATTACTACAGGGAGATGTCCATTATGGTGTGGCAAGAGGAATGGGACGAGACTAATGGGACTAATCTGAGAAGATGTATGGACTGTTGTTATCAGAATTTGGATTACTTCCTATCGCAGATACTCACAGGACATGGTTGTTTTAGGGAATAACTACACAGATTAGAAAAGGCAGAAAATGAGAAATGCTGGAACTGCGAAATACCGGATACTATCTCACACAGTCGGTATGCTATAGATGGATAGCCGAGAAAAACCTGATTGAGAAAATGTTATCAGATCAGTAGAGAGCAGTTCAGAGATATGTATAGGAGTAGAGATATGTATATAGAAATAGGAAGAAAAAGGGAGAAAAAAATTAAGCAGTCTTAGTGAGAAAGTGCGAGAATACGTAAAAATCGTACGTGAATAAAAAAGTCAGGTGAATGCTGTGCCAACGTTATTTTAGTATGCAGGTCTCTGTCATTAGTGGATATCGGTCTCGGTCTCGGATATCATCTTGGTCACGTTGGAAGAATCCTACATAACTGAAGCTGAAAGACGTTTTTTCTAGAACCAAGGTATGTTTCGAACATTTGGTACACCTCACTCTCTCTCTCTCTCTCTCTCTCTCTCTATATATATATATATATATATATATATATATATATATATTTCTTCTTCTTCAAGTGCCGTCTCCATCAATGGAGGTTAGCGGTTATGGTGGCAAACGTTTGTCTATCTTCAGCTGCTCTTAAGAGTTCCTCAAATCCAAGTCCTGTCCAGTTTCTGATATTACGTAACCAGGACAATTTTTTTCTTCCAATTCCTCGCTTTCCTTCTATTTTGCCTTTTATTATCAACTGAGGGATGTAGTATTTCTCGTTGCGCAACAAATGCCCTAAATAACTGGTTTTTCTTCTTTTGACTGTTCTCAATAGTTCTTTTTCTAAATTGAGTCTAGCTAGTACTTCTTCATTTGTTTTTCGTGCTGTCCAAGGAATTTTTAAAATTCTACGGTACACCCACATTTCAAATGCCTCGATTCTATTCAGGCTCTTTATTTTTAAAGTCCACGTTTCGACTCCGTAGAGAAGAACAGACCAGATAAAATATTTTACAAGTTTTAATCTCAATTTACAATTTATATGTGTATCGCAGTATAGAACGCGCATCTTAAAGAAACTATCCCTAGCTTGAGCAATTCTCGCTTTAATTTCTTGTTCTGGGTCCAGCTTGCAATTAATCCAACAGCCAAGGTATTTGTATTGGTTTACCTGTTCTAAAATATTCCCATTTATTTTTATAGGTAAGGGGATATTCTGTTTTCTTTGGATCACCATTACTTTTGTTTTTTTTTTCGTTGATCTTCATTCCAAACTCTCGACAAGCATCCTTAAGGTGGTCTATAACCCTCTGTAAGTTTGTGTCTGTATCAGCCAGTAGGACAGTGTCATCTGCATATCTTATGCTAGATATTGGTTCTCCATTAATTTTTATTCTTGTGGAAAGGTTTTCCAAGGCTTGCTTGAATAGTAGTTCCGAGTAAAGATTGAACAGCATAGGGATAGTATGCATCCTTGCCTTACTCCTTTATTTATACTAATATTTCTAGATGTATGATCGTCGATCCTAATCTTGGCACTCTGCCTCCAATATAAGTTCTTAATTAATCGGAGATCTTTACTATCCAAGTTGATGTTCTGCAAGGAATTTAACATTTTATTATGGTTTACGCGATCAAATGCCTTTTCAAAGTCTACAAAACATAGAAAGACATCCTTTTGTTGGTCGTAACACTTCTGCAGCAGTACTTGTAATGAAAACAAGGCCTCTCTGGTCCCCATTCCGGCTCTGAATCCAAATTGATCGTATCCAACTTCTTTTTCACACCTTTTGTATACCCTATTGTGAAGTATTTTTAATAGACTTTTAAGCACTTGGCTCATAAGACTTATTAATCTAAAATCTGCGCATCGCCTGGAGTTAGCTTGTTTTGGAATGGGAATAAAAATAGATTCTAACCATTCCTCTGGTATTTCCCCAGTATCGTAGATTGTATTAAACAAAATTACTAACAAATCAATGTTATTACTTTCGATCAATTTAAGTATTTCAGGATAAACTTCATCAGGTCCAGGGCTTTTGTTGGTCTTTAATTGTTTAATGGCATATATATATATATATATATATATATATATATATATATATATATATATATATATATATATAATTTAGCTCTCCAGGTCTAGAAGGCCCACGGCTTGATTTACTATTTTTTTCCATTCTTTTCTGTTTGTTGCTTTATTTTTCCAGTTTGGTATTTTAAGTTTTTCTATGTCTTTTTCAACATCCTTCTTCCACCGGGTTTTCGGTCTGCCGTTCTTCCTTTTCCCTCCTATTCCTCCCATTAGCATTCTTTTTGGCAGTCTCGTGTTTCCCATCCTTTGGATGTGTCCCAACCATCTCAGTCTTTGTTGTGACTTTATGATCCCTACGATATTCGGTTCTCCATACATCTCCTCTAATTCCATATTTGATCTTTTCATCCATATACCATTTCATAATTTACCTCCAAATATTTTCCTGGGGACTTTTCTTTCCCAGACTTGCAGCAGGACTTGCTCGGATTTGTTCATTGTCCATGTTTCACTGGCATATAATACAATAGGTCTTATTACTGTCTTATATATTCTTATCTTAGCCCTTCTAGATATGTTTCTGCTTCTTAATAAATTGTTTAGTGCAAAAATACAACGGTTACCGGCCATAATTCTTGGATTTCTTCCTTCATATTTGGTCTTCTCGTGAATGTCGCTCCTAAATACTGGAATATTTCTACTTCTTCGAATTTATATGTTTTTTCATCTGTTATTACTGTCAGATATTGTTCTTGTAGGTAATCTCTTTCTGTCCATTCCATATATTTGGTCTTTTCTTCATTTATGTACATCCCTTTCTTTCCCGCTTTCATTTCTAATCTTTTTGTTATTTCTTTTAATTCTTGCTTACTTCTGGCTATCAGTACAATGTCGTCAGCGAATGCTAAGCATTGGTGTTTTCTTTGATATATAAGTCCTGACCTGTTGATTCCAGCTGCTCTGATGGTAACTTCGAGGACGATACTGAACAACAGCGATGACAGTGGGTCTCCTTGTCGCACCCCCTCACTGACCTCAAACTTATCTGTTTCTTCGCCATTTATTCTAACCCTATTCTCTGTTCTTCGTAGTGTCATTTTACCATTCTTATCAGTTTTTCACTAATTCTCATTTCACGTAGTGCTTTGTATATTTCTTTGCATTTTATCCTATCAAACGCTTGTTTAAAGTCGATGAATAGGGCCATTGTACACCTCACTCATAAAGGACGAAAAAAACGAAGATATGCGGAGCTCTGCCTGGACAGCTAAGGCTCTTTTTGTGAAACAAGAATGGACTAGGACAAAAAACTATTGAACTGGATTCCTTTGCATCTCATACTTACGTGAAGATTAAGAAGAACTACTGAAAACTAGTCAGAAAACAGCGATGAAATTTCCAAAAGAGACGAAAAATGGCTCAGCAATGGGCGAATATTCGCAGTGCAGCATGGGAAAAGTTTACAGCAGACGTGAAAGCCTATCTGAAAGCCACAGTAATTGATGTGGGATCTTTCAGATCGTAGTGTAAAAAGACTGGCGAGACCAACAAATTATTTGTCTATAATTGGCATTATACAAGCTAATTTATAAAATAGATCAATTTCATTAATTGAATAAGCTTTACAAGAAAATATTTACCTGCGTTGGTTTTACTGTTTTGGGGTTGACCTCCATTTTTCTAAAATAAAACAAATATACGTCAATTCTTGAGGAAAGTTTTTTTTATTTAGAATTTCCGCATTAACCATTAAAGGTTATTGCGGGTTTTACACATTTTACAGTTGTTATTAAAACTCTAGTTGAAAAGTCTCTCAAATATAACAGACCCCTTGCTCTTATCTTTGTCGACTTCCACAAAGTATTTGATACAGTCGAAACAGTTGCTATCTTAAAAGCACTATCAGAATGCAGAATAGATCACAGGTATGCAAATATTATTCGAAATATATAAGAAAATACGTCAACAACCGTTAACCTCCATTGCATGACTGAGAAGATAAAAATTGGCAGATGGTGCGGCAGGGAGATACCTTGTCGCCAAAACCATTTATCAGTTATGGAGTACGCATTTAAACGGCTAGAGTGGGAATCAAAGGGTACTAGCATCGATGGAAAGATATTCAATCATCTCAGATATGCCGATGATATTGTTCTCATAACAGACAACTTAGAAGAAGCCAGAGTTATGCTACAACAACTACAGCAAGTAACCCAGAAAGTCGGTTCAAAAATAAACTATGGAAAAACAAAAATGATGACCAATCTCGTCCCCAATGAGCTAATAGAAATCCAAAAGTCACCCATAGAACTTGTGGAAAAATATGTGTATTTGGGTCACGAAATAAGGTTAACACGAGATAACCAAACATGCGAGCTACTCAGAAGTCTGGGTTGGGCTGCATTCGGAAAAATGAGAGACGCATTTAAAACAAATATACCGATCCATTTAAAAAGAAAAGCTTTTAACAGTGCGTTCTACCAGTCCTCACATACGGAGCAGAAACCTTAACTCTCACAAAAACATCAGCCGAAAAATTGAGGACACAACTAGAGATGGAGAGATGAATGATTGGAATAAGCTTAAGAAATAAAATAAGAAACGAGGAAGTTTGTAGACGAACCGGAGTAGAAGACATTATCGAACATATTACAAGGCAAAAATGGAGATGGGCAGGACATGTTGCAAGAATGAAAGACGACAGTTGGACAAAAAAATTGCTTGAGTGGAGACCACGGGCTGACAAGCGAAGCCGAGGAAGACCCCCAACGCGATGGACCGACGACCTCAAAAGAATCGTGACCAATTGGATAGCAGATGCGCAGAACAGAAGCAGATGGAAAAGTCTAGAGGAGGCCTATGTTCAACAGTGGACAACTCAGGGCTGATTGATGATGATGATGATGAATAGCAATAGACATCATAGAATTTTTTGTTATTTCTACGAGGATATTATATATAGGTATTCATTTTCCAATAAGTTTCTACCGATTTTTGTTAAAAATATAAATAAAAATATGAAATCAACTTGTACAATTATTTTGATATCCACATTCCTTCCAATGAATATCTTAGTAAAAGTAAGTTTTGAAATAAATTGAAGCTTTCTTTCTTGATTTGTCAAAATTTTAATTTTTGGAGAAGTTTTGTTTTTTAAATAAACGCTTCAATTAGAATTATATTTAATTAGGCCAGAATCCAAACTCCTCTATATAGACATACTAGTGTATAAATGCTAATTGTTAGACTTGTTTTGATATATTTTTTCTAATTCTTCCAGTAATTTGGTAACTATCGACCTTCATCGTATTGGGGTCCAACATTAATTATTATCTAAACATATTCTCTTAATTTAATAAAAAGTTTTTGCTTACCAGGTGATTATAATACATTCTTCTGCTTAACGATAAACCATTTGCAGGAAAAAACGTTGTTTGATGAGTTTATACAATACTTCTACTGCTACTATTGATGCAAGAGTTGGCATCCAGGTCAAGATCGATTCCTCTAGTGCACTATGTAATGGTGCGGTGCTTTTAATATGGTTTGTGTCGATTCAATCTACGGTATGAAATATTAGTTATTATTTTTTATCATAAATTTTTCATAGTGCGTCTTAAAACGATGTGAAACTTTAAAAAAAATTGATAAGTAATAATTATTTTATCACAATAAAATTTACCTTGACGTAAAAAAAACTACTTATTTGTCTTAGTTATAGATCTTATCACTTATCTAACTACTTATATTTCTGCATGTACTATTTAAATTAAAATATTTTTGGATTTCATAGGGATAATCCACAATTAAAGGAATTTTCTAACAAAAAAAGTTAATAACAAAATATACTGGCAGACATACGACACTGAATAATTGGCAGTAAAAGCAATAAAAAGAAATGACTAAAAGCAAATTATTATCTGTAAAATGGGAAATTTAAATCTGTAGAGTCCATCGAGATTAAGCAATCGTTGAGCAAAATATAAAAGCAGACGCAAGAGAAAGATATATTTGTAAATTGGAAATCAATAAGCCAGTATAGCTAAAGCTGAAATACTCCAAACTTAAAATAAATAAGACAAAATTTCAGACCAAATGAAAGGGGTAAAGGGAACAAGAAAATAAAAGTTCAGAAAACATAAAATAGAGAAAATATAACGCGATTGATAGCGTTTAAACATTTTCAAGATGTAACAACTGAAGTTTAAATGTTGTAGGCCAATTTAAGCAGGAACAGCAATTTGGAAGAATCAATGTGAAAGTTAAACCAATACAAAGAGTAAAAACATACACATTTATTTTTTTACTTTAGTACGAACATCAATAAAAATTGGGACCATCTAGAAATAAAAAGCAAAATTTGAATTTCAAAATATGGGTAAGCGATTTAAATGCCATTATTTATCCGTACCTATAAAAATTCTGGGATGTTATAACTTTCCTATACTGTTTTCCGGAGTCGTGGACTCTTACAGATGCTACCTGCAAGAAAATTGAGATTTTCGAAATGTGGCTTTATCGTCTAATACTGGAGATATATTATACCCACTATTTTTACTTCATTGTGAGTTTTTTAACTATGGTGTACAGCCGACCACTGGGAATTTCCGTTTTAAAGTTTAACAAGTACTAAGAATAGCGTAGAATATAGAAGATTTTAATATAGTGATCGCAAACCTCTATTAATTGAGTGGACCAAAAGACCTAAAGAAAGTAAGAGTGAAGCATGTTCATAATTTCTTTAAATTATTCCCTTTAGTAAATTATTTTCACGCCGTCTATGGCTACATATTCTTCTTTAAAAAACATTACAACTAACCCGATAGCAACGAGCAAACGTCGACAAATGTTTTCCGTTCTCTTTATCGAGCTCTGCTAAATAAAAATCTTCCCTAATAACAAAGGAAAAAGGCCCTATTGTGAAATCTCCGAGCTACCTTCTCAGAAAAACAGAAGAGTTGTTTTTCGTAGAAAGTTTACTTTCCATTGGTAAAAGCTATGAAAATGAACCCCAGTAGCCCGGCTATTTAATGTCAATTTCGCGTGGCATCCTTCAGCCAATATCCCCTCCCTATTTTCAACTTTCGCTTGTCCAAGCCCTTCTAAGTTCACAATCCGATGTTCATTTCCAAGTTGGTTCCTGTGGCAAGCGGTCTTATCTTCGACAATCGGCGGTAAGTGGATTTTCAATTCACCACTATTTATTTTTACACAGTGTGTCTTATATTAATTATTTTCTCTTTTGTCAAACAAACGTCTTCCAATTGAAGTCACTTCTAATCATGAATTTGTTGCTTGTGTGAGTCCATTTCAAATAGGTAAAGAAATAATAAATAAGACTTACTCACAATCTTGATTACGAGTGATAGTACTCAGTCTTACTTGATTGTGAGTAAGTCTTATTTATTATTTCTTTACCTATTTGAAGTCACTTCTGTTTGCCGTTCGGATTTTACACCGTTTCAGATTTTACACCGTTTCAGATTTTACACCGTTTCATATTCTACACCGTTCATATTCCACACCGTCCATAGTTTACACCGTTCATACGTGTACACTATTCACACATTCACCGCTACGTTCGTTCACCTCGATCATCAGTCATCTTCATTTTATCTCAATTACCTGTACTACTCCGGTCTGGCTGCCTCTTTTAGTCGGCCTAAGACAATCTAAGGGATTACGTTAGAAAGACCACAATTCGTTGTGGGCGTGTCATCCCAACTACCTGTTGTACGGACCGAAGTCAAGTGCCTTATTGAGGGCGTAATACCATTATCTGAATACACCTGTTTCGTGAGTATAAGTTTTATTGACTAAACTGTGATAACGAAATCTTTAGAAGTTGATTTATGACTCCAGTTCAGTGTGCCTTCTTATTTATGGAGGTTTAGTTTGACTGAGTATAAAAATACAGAATAATATATACGCATAAATAACGTACAATTTATTTTATATGTAGATTATATTTCTGATAAATTGTATTCTTAGATTTGAAGTGATCACGATCAAAAACCTAGTAACTTCATGTTTAGGTATCCTCAAGGCGTAAAATTCACTTGCTTGCCAAATATTGACGTAGATATAATTATAATGTTCCTTGCCTTTTTCTAATTCTTGAGGATACTAAATTATTTATAACTATTTTTCAAAGAGATATTTTTTGTTTGTAATTAATAATAAGTTGCACAATAATCATGCCATTTAACTGTTCAATAAAATTTGGTATAGTACATTTACTTTAACAAATATACCTATATATAATTTTGTTAAAGAACTATTTGCTTTTTATTTCTTTTATATTTTTTTTTATATAATTTGAATTTATATTTTTGTGTTTCTCTTCCAGGCATTTTTTATTGAATTATATTATTATTTGTTTGATCGTACATTTTGAGTATATGTGTCGAAATATTAGGAGTGTACCGCATAATTCCGATACCTTTTCTCTCACGGTTTACTTTATTCTTGCGTGAGTTCTCTAGCTCTACCTTACCTTTCTCGTCATCCTTTTCTATGTGCCTTAACGTTTCCCTGTCCCTCTAAAAAGAGGGTGGTGCCCAAATAAATTTTCTTCTCTTATCTCTTATCTTCTCTTCTAATTTCTTGTCTGTGTGTTGTCTGTACTTCTTTAACTGATCCGTGATATTTGAGCTGTAATAAGAACCCCGACCAAGATACCTCTACCAGACTGAAGCCCGAGCCTAGTACCGTTCTTTGTGTAACCCCCAATCAATCATTAAGAGGGTACAAGAGTTGGATTGGAGAAGAGAAGCAAGATAAGACATAATAAGGTAAAGTATCCACAAGAACTTTAATAAAAAAAATGATATAAGTTAAAACTACCTATTAGTCCAGTCTGGTTATGCAAAAATCATCGATTTCACGGCAAAAATTTTCGCAGATGTCTGAAGCTTTTAAGACATACGTGGGGGTTACTAGATGACGAATAGATGAAAAAGTACCCGTATTTTTATCTTGCGTTTTTTTTTTAAATAATTTATGGTCACAATTTGATTTATTTTAAAGTTTTTAAAGTTTATTCCCTTATATTTTACATAAACAATATTTATATAATTTTTTATATCAAGAATATCTTTATTTTCCCGTTTTTTAAATTAAAATTGTAAATCATTTACGGAGATATTTGCAAAAAAGCAGTATTTTTGCACTAATTTAGAAATTTTATTAATTTTTTTTATTAACAAAATAAAACGTTATTAATACATTTGAACATTGAGGAATTACCGTCTTTTAAATTTGTGCAAAATTTCCCCCAGATCGGTCAAATAGTTTAAAAGTTATTTAATTTATTTATCCCTGAGGCTAAATATTTAAACTATTGAACCTGCTCTATTAATGATGCTAGACACATTCAGCAAATGTCATAGGATTCTTTAAGACATAAACTATCTCATAAGTTAAATGCATATTGCTTTTTCATCGATGTTATTTGCAAAATAAACGTTTGAAAAATGGGTATGTTTTTTTACTTATAACCCAATTGTAATAACTTCCATATTTTTCAAACTACAGATTTGCAGGTACAACCATTGGATAGCTGGTAAAAAACTCACATTAAAAAAAGAAGTCTTCTATTACCAATAGGAACGAAGTTAGGGACTATTTAAAAAAATCATATATCCATTGTTTATAAACATTAAGAAGTAAAATTTTCAGAAATTTTGAATGAAAATCTAAACTTTATATTGAAACTTAGAGCTATAAATTTCATCCAATTTTTCGAAACCTACAGCTCTTCGAAACGAAGGTACCTTCGAAAGATCGACATAGGAAAGTGGAGGGATAATTAATTTCGACATTGGAACTGCAAATTGAATCACGTAGAAAAAATTTACATTATCTTGGCTTCCATTGCAGCTAGAAGCCTCTTTTTTAATCTGGGGTAGATCTTCGAAATATTTTTACTGGCAGGAAAATATGGGAAACCTCAGAAAAATTTTAAAATTGAGTCTCTTTGAGAAATTCACCATAAACACTTAAGTACTTTGTTTTTTAATTTGGCTGGAATATTCTGTCGCAGAATTATTATATATTTTATAAATTAAATTTCAGGTAATTTTTTACACATTATATTAATATATTCCTTATGTTAATTAAAATTATGTTGATTTTCCTGACTATTCCGAGATTTTTCTGGGGGGGGACAGACTATTGCAGACAAATTACAAAAAAGTAAGTTTTTACGGTGAATTTCATATGGACTAAATTTTTCCGGGGTTCCCCATATTTCCCGTGCAGTGAAAACTATGTACTTATTCATATTTCGACGAGCTACCACAGATTTAAAAAAAAGAGGCTGCTAGCTGCAATGGAAGCCGAGATTTTGTAAATTTTTTCTACGTATTTCAATTTGAAGTTACGATGTCGAAAAGAAAACGGAGCTGAAACAGTTATCTCCTCCACTTTCCTATGTCGAACTATCGAAGGGCTGTAAGTTTCGAAAAATTGGATAAATTTTATAGCTACAACTTTCAATATAAAGTTTAGATTTTCATTCAAAATTTGTGCAAATTTTACTTCTTAATGTTTATAAACAATGGAGATATGATTTTTTTAAAAATAGTTCCTAACTTTGTTCCTATTGGCCATAGAAGGTTTTTTTTTAATATGAGTT